GTTCTAAACCAGGACTAAACCAGGACTGAACCAGAACTGAACCAGGACTGAACCAGGATTAAACCAGGACTGAATCAGGACTGAACCAGGACTGAACCAGGACTAAACCAGTTCTAAACCAGGACGGAACCAGGACTGAACCAGGACTGAACCAGGACTAAACCAGGACTAAATCAGGACTAAACCAGGACTGAACCAGAACTGAACCTGTTCTAAACCAGGACTGAACCAGGACTGAACCAGGATTAAACCAGGACTGAACCAGGACTAAACCAGTTCTAAACCAGGTCTGAACCAAGACTGAACCAGGACTAAACCAGGACTAAATCAGGACTGAACCAGGACTGAACCAGAACTGAACCAGGACTAAACCAGGACTAAACCAGGACTAAAGCAGGACCAAACCAGTTCTAAACAAGGACCGAACCAGGACTGAACCAGGTCTAAACCAGGTCTAAACCAGGACTAAACCAGGTCTAAACCAGGGCTAAACCAGGTCTAAACCAGGGCTAAACCAGGTCTAAACAGGTCTAAACCAGGTCTAAACCAGGGCTAAACCAGGTCTAAACCAGGACTAAACCAGGACTAAAGCAGGACCAAACCAGTTCTAAACAAGGACCGAACCAGGACTGAACCAGGTCTAAACCAGGTCTAAATCAGGACTAAACCAGGTCTAAACCAGGTCTAAACCAGGGCTAAACCAGGTCTAAACCAGGAATAAACCAGGTCTAAACCAGGGCTAAACCAGGTCTAAACCAGGTCTAAACCAGGACTAAACCAGGTCTAAACCAGGAATAAACCAGGTCTAAACCAGGTCTAAACCAGGGCTAAACCAGGGCTAAACCAGGGCTAAACCAGGTCTAAACCAGGACTAAACCAGGTCTAAACCAGGAATAAACCAGGTCTAAACCAGGTCTAAACCAGGTCTAAACCAGGTCTAAACCAGGTCTAAACCAGGGCTGAACCAGGGCTGAACCAGGAGCACAGCCGCTGAGCTGATGGTTTTACTTAATAAATACACTAAAGTCTCCATCAGCCTGGTCCATCGTTCTAGGAAAAGACCGGGACTGGGCACTTGTTTCCAGGGCAACGGACGCGCATCAAGTATTTTCCTCCCATTCGTCGTTCATTTGATTCACCTGACCAGCCCGGGTGTAATCATTACCCGCCCACATACCCGCACATGAAGTTCCAAAATGTTAAAAAGCCGCCTGTTTCAGCAACTATTGTGTACCCAGGACTCTGATCTGATCAAAGATGTGTCTTGCTGTGTTCTATCTGCATCTAATTATAAGGTGTTTTATAGTCCCATGATCAGGAAGTGTGTGTTAGTATGCCAGTTGTCACTTCACTGGGATGGTACACTCCACTCTGGTTTCTGAGAGTTATGAAAAGTTCTTATAAACTCATCGTAGTGGATAGTCAGGACGCTCAGAATACAAACAGTAAGTGAGGAGTAACTTTGGACCACTGCAAACTGTTTCAAATGAACCACTGTTTTTTTCGGACTATAAATTGCTCCGGAGTTTAAGTCGCACCAGCCATAAAATGCGCAAAGAAGAAGAAAAACGCATATATAAGTCGCACTTTTTGGGGGAAATGTAATTTATAAAATCAGAGACCAGGAACCGACATTTCCTGTTGAAAGTGAAGTTGTAGTAATCAACAACAGAAGAGAGAACAACAGACTGTTAACGTCACATATGAACAGTTCTTCAGATAAACTATAACATAAATACAGTGTTGGGAAGGTGACTTTTAAAATGTATTCTCCTACAGATTACAGATTACATAACCCAAAATGTAGTTTGTAACAGAATTCATTAAGTTACTTAAGGTGAGACTAGGAAATCTTCACATAAGAAGTTTTGTCTGCTAAAAGAAAATAAAAAGCCCAGACTTTCACTGAACCAAATTAAAAATATTATTGATAGAAGAGGAGGAGTTACAGTCCGCGCAGCATGATTTAGTCCTGTTAAATCCTGTTTTAGACCTGGTTTAGACCTGGTTTAGTCCTGGTTTAGTCCTGGTTTAGTCCTGGTTTAGTCTTGGTTTAGTCCTGGTTTAGTTCTGATTTAGCCCAAAATGTAAAACAGGAAAATACTGCCATGTAATCCATTTTTTTAACAAAGTAACTGTAATCCAATTACCACTCACTGAAACAGTAACTGTAACTGAATACAGTTACTCATAAATTGTACTCTGATTACGTAACTCCTCCATGTCCATGGATCATTATGTTATAATTTGGACATTTTTAATTGATCAGCAATATGATATCTTGAAAATAAGTGATTAAAAATGACTCAAACATGCATGAATCACTCTAAACTCCAACTATGAGAGAGTAAATGTTAAAAGCTCTGAAACAGGTTTGCTTTAAAACAGTAAAACCAGGTCTTGCGTTCTAGAACAGTCTTTGGAAATACCACTTGTTCACAGCGTTAATGGAGTGTGTGTGTGTGTGTGTGTGTGTAAGTGCATTGTGATGTGTGTGGGGCGTTTACAGTGTGTGGGAAACAGCAGTTGTCCAGCTGTACTGCGGAGATGATCCAGAGGTCAGAGCTTCCCTGGAATGTGGCTTTGGGGAGCGGACAAATGAAATGATCCAAAAGCATTGGGCAGGACCCTCTGGCAATAAGTTGTAGGCTTGTTGTTGACGTGTTGTATTGTCTTGTACTGTTTTGATTCCACATTTTGACTCCAATTTGTGGATTATATTTGACAGTTGGGATCTCGTGCCACAAGATCTCATGAGACAAGATCGTGCACGTGAGAGAAATGATCTTGAGAGATGTTTACCCTTACAAAAAAGGGCTGTGTGTTGGTTAGAATGGAAACAAAAATATGAAATCAAATAAATAAATAAAAGACTGTGAGGCCAAAATGGAAATGAAATTTATATTCTTCAAATTTATAGTCTTCAAAATCTCATTTTGATTCATTCTCGTGGACTCAATCTCATATTTCATGTTCGTATTTACGCTTCCAGCTAGTGTTGTCCCAATACTCACAATTTGAACTTGATTTCGATACTAAGGAACAGACTTGATACTCAGTACCGATTCCAATGCCACAATGATAAGAAAAAACACAATTTCTTTAGACAATAGAATGTGATTTTCAATATTAAGTCTGTAAAATCTCTTAGTTTTCCAGGTAGGCTTCATAATGGTCCATGGGCATGTACTGCTTTATGTGTGTGTATTATTGTTGTGTCTTTGGGCAAGACATGCTGGTCTCCAAAGGTTAAAATGTGCTTTATAAATATGACCACAGCAGTAAATGCAATAATAGTATTAACTAAGGCTACGTTCAGACTGCAGCCTGAACTGACTCAAATATGTTTTTTTGGCCTCTATGCTCCTGTATCTGATCTTTTAATGACAGTCTGAACAACACAGATCTGATTTTTTCAAAAGAGACCAGGCCACTTGGATATGTGCTCCTACACTGATACATATCCGTCCTTTTGACATGTGACTTCAGGGCCTGTCTACACGAGAACACTTGCTGGTAAAAATGACAAAATATTTTATTGGAAGTGTGTCTTGTTTAGACAGTGACTGTGTTTTTGGGGCTTAAAACACATAACGATCTGAAACCACCCTCCAGACTGGGAAAAGCTGAATACGCTCCACTGTAGTGTTTCCGTGTACACTGGCTAAGACACAAAACTCTGGTCAGATTTGCTCAGGTCGTGTACATGTTTATGTCACATACATACAGTGCACAGAAAAACAAACAAATATACCGAATCTGCAGAGATACTATTAGTGACCAGAGAAGGATCTGCATTCACCTCTGTCAAATTCTTTGGGAGAACCAGTCGATGGTGGGACAACTTTGTGGAAGGAGGAGCTGATGAAAATGTGTGTCGTGAAAAGTTCCGTATGTCCAAAAATGCCCTTGTTGCTTTAAGTACAAACATACCTAGTCAAATTCCACACACTTTGCATCACTTTATGCACACAGATTTCCTCCTGAAAATGCTTGTCTAAACGCAGAATAAAAAGTGAAGACGAGACGCCACTTATAAATATCGTACAGTGAGATGTATATTGTGAAAATATCATATTGAGAGATTTGGATATCGTTACATTCTTAGTTATTTAGCGATCTCTCCTGGGCCCTGCTTACAGTTAGCAGTACACTCCTGTACAAGACTCCGCCCACAAGCCTACATCACCCATGATCCCACACGACAATTCTCCATAAATAAACCAAAACATAATACAAAACAGTACACTACAACTTCACAAACCTGTTGCGATGTGCTGTAGTTTCATTAGCAAAATTCATGCTGACGTGTTGTGATTAGAGCAAAAATATTGAAATACCAATATATCGTATCTTTTAAGGTGATCAATACAGTATCAATATCACGGGCTGCTGTATCGATATATCTAGTATTTTGGGGTATATTTTACTAAATTATTTTGTTACAGCTACAGTTTTGTTGCTTGTTTAGAGGAAGAGACTTTTGACATTTTTACTGTTTTGAGGATTAAAATGTTTGTGTTTGAAATGATCTTTGCACAAAAAGTGATTTAACAAAGACTTTTAGTATCACAGTCATGATTTAGACTTTATTTTTTATGAACTGTATAGAAATGATTTGAAATATATATCGTATCAAAATGAAATTGCACTGTATTGAGATATGTATCATATCGTGGACTATGTATCGAGATATGTATCGTATCGGTAACGTCTGAATGATACCCAGCCCTAGTTGTGGTAACACTCTGAAGGGAGAGTGACTTAGCACAGGGAGCAAAGAGAAGGGGTCATTGGGCTTTTAAAAATGAAAGTGAAATTTACACAAAAAAAAGTTAATATGTTTTCACCAAATGTCATTTTCCGAACAATAAATGGGAACATGGTGATACCTCATGGAAGTGTAATATCCCTCTTCAAACTTAATTTGAGCTGAGGACAGAAAACACTGAAACATCATAAGTTGCGTATCTGAGCCAAATGTTTGTTTGTAAATCCAGAGTGTTTCCCCGGGGCCCACCGGATCCTGCGTAACCCTTACCGCAGCACGGACTTCGACTCCAGCGAGCTCCAGAACACCGCCATCCAAGAGCTCATCTGTGACCACAACCTGACCCCCGGCTGGTACCGCTTCACCCTCAACAACAAGCCCGCCGAGATGCCCACCAGCTGTGTGGAGGTGAGACGGACGCGTGGAGGTTCTGGGAGCGTACGGGCTTTCAGTCTGTGTGTCAATCGTACATTTTTTGCTATTTTCTTCATTATTTCTGTCCAAAACCAAAATGAAAAAAACTGATAATTTTTTGATTTTGTGTTTAAATGAATAGTGGAATTTCCTGTTTCTGTGACTTAAACTGTGATGCTGGACTTTTGCGACAAATATAGACTGAACCAGGACTAAAACAGGATTAAACCAGGATTAAACCAGGACTGATCCCAGGACTGAACCAGGAGGACTAAACCAGGACTGAACTAGGACTAAACCAGACTCAACCAAGACTAAAAGAGGATTAAACCAGGACTAAACCAGAACTGAATCAAAACTGGACCAGGACTAAACTAGGTCTAAACCAGGACTTGGACTTGAGAGAGAGAGACGGGACCTCGAGCCCTGCGCTTTAGCCCCATGGGGTGCAGAGCTCTGAGTCGGTTCTTTTGCCTGCAGTCACCCGACGATCTACGTGGGTGCACCTCCAGGCCCGTCTCGACAGTCAGTCCTGGTTTAGTCCTGGTTCAGTCCATATGCGGTGCAAAAGTCTGGCATCTCGATCGATGTTTCTTCTGCTCAAAAAATAAAGCCTGTGAAGTGGTGAAGTATTTTTAACAGTAAAGTCGCGTCTTTGAATTCGTATTTGTACTGAAGAAAGTGTAATCGGACATTTTCATTTGGTGATTGTAATTCTTGACGTCGTAACTTTTCAATTCGTATTCTGATGGATAAAATACACACAATATATTTTATGTACGACTGGACTCATTCGAGAGTTTAAGGATATATATTTTATGCTCAGCTACAGCCAAATATGCACAAATTTCCCAAATATGCACTGATTTCTATTCTATGCACACAAATATTTCTGAAAGTTTTCTTACTCCGTACATGTATCAAACGCAGAACTGGAAACTGAGATCCTGTCCTGTCATAAATCCATAAGGTAAGTGCAGCTGTAAGCAGGTGCAAGCTACACATAAATATTTTTTTTGGAAATAGTGCTATTTTGTTAACATGATCACCTAAAATGTTAGACAAGCGCAGTTTAAGTCACAGAAATGTCCGTTATCCGTTTTTTCCATTATTCATTTCAACACAAAATTGAAAATAGAAAGATCAAATCATTATCCATTTTTTTTCGTTTTGGTTTTGGAGATAAATAATAAAGAAAATAGTTGTTTTTCGTGTTCTTATTTTTAGTTTTATTTTGAAAAATGAATGATACAAAGATTGCTTTCCCTTGTTGTTTTCTTTGTTTAGTTTCTCCAGTATACCTCTCACTGCAGGAGTAGACCGTGTTACTTTGTTTGTTGGTTACAGTTGACAGAATAGAATTTTCTTTTGCTATGGATGTTACCTGGACGAATGAAGGATCACACAGATACCTTCAGCTTAGTGAAAGAAAGAAGAACATGAGGAGATGAGAGGCAGCGGTCTGTGAGTCAGATGTGCAGAGCTGTAATCACTAGCTTCAGTCCAGTGTGAGGGATAATGACACTAATGACTGTTTGTACTGTGGACCTTCTCAGGAGCTACAGTTTGTACAGTACAGAGCCTCATGGACCTCCAGGCCACAGGGACAGCTCTGACAGCTCACTGTTTATGGACGTGTGGAGGAGGAGGATTCTGTCTTTGACATACATGACCTTATACCCCACACGACAGAGTGACCAAATATTCAAGATCAAAAACTAGAACATAATAACATTGTGAAATGAGTGTGTAATTAGGTAAAATTGTTCTGCACTCAGCACTAATGTGAGTCAGAATAGTCACATTTTCTTTGTGTTTTGGTCATTTTTAAGCAGCTTTTCTGTATTTTACCTAAACAAATGACAAAGTATGTCTCTCTTTACTGTTGGCAGCTCAGATTGGTCAAAAATAGGGACACCTGGGACATTTCTTGTAGTCAGGCTGGCACCACCTAGTGCCTCCACTCAATTTCATTTCTCTCCAGCAACTAGGTCAGGAATCAGAATACAATAGATCAGGGGTGTCAAACTCAAATTCACAGAGGGTTGAAATTAAAAACTGGGACTAAGACGTAGGCCAAACTAAATATTTATTGAAAAATTTCAACAGCAACTGCATGTTTTCTATTCTTTTGATATCTCAAAAGAAGAGAAAACATGCAGATGCTGTAATGTTAAACCTTTTCTTATTAAAATAAATGTTTAATAATAGTTTTACTTAAACACTGAATCCAGAACTAGCAGAATATAAAATAATAACAACATTTTAAATAAATCATGTCTCTATAGTCGATCTGTAGCCAACGGGCAGCTCTAATACAGATTTGATATGATCTCGCGGGCCAAATATACTTATATCATGGGCCAAATTTGGCCCTCAGGCCTGAGTTTGACATGTCTGCAATAGAGTTCCCCAGAAGTGTGAGTTCAGAGCGATTTAAAGCCAGAACAAAGAGAATGTTTGGTGAATTTTATCAAGGGGAAAGACGTTATTGTCCTTCTTCCTATGGGATTTGGGAAAAGCTTAATATACCAGTTAGCCCTGTTAGTGGCACATTACATACTAAATAGCAGCGATTTGTTAAATAAAAAAAGTACCTGCCTACTGTCGAGTGAACGAATCCTAATGCTGTGAGGTCAGACAGTTTCTACGAAGTGAAACCGGCTGATGAATCAGGCTACATTTCTTGTCTAAAACTGGGACAAATCAGTGGTTTTGGATAAATCTGCTGGGACAGGAGACACAGGCTCAAAACTGGGATGTCTCGGGTAAATAGGGACGTCTGGTCTGGTGTGGTTTACAGTAACAGTTTACAGTAAAAAAAAAAAAAAAAAGAGGTTAGGATTTAAACAGCACATTTTCAGGAGGCTGTGATCAATACGAATGTATTGGTTTAGGAGTTTGTATTTCAACAAAAAAGTGAGAATGACTAACTGAAAAAAAAAAAAAACTATCTGCAATGTAATTTGAGAGGGACATGTTTAAAGTTCAGATTAAAGTCTAACAAAGCCTCAGACAGAGCATGCCTACAGCTAGCATCACACCCTCAGGGAATAGCTGCTGCAAACTACAAACTATGTGTTCTCCTAAGTAACTGTCCCTTGTGTCCAGCTCCGTGGAGGGTCAGGGGACACAGAGCTTAAAACTAGGACTGTCCCAGGGAAATAGGGACGTCTGGTCATTCTACCTCAGAAGTCTGTCTACAGTAACTTTGCACAGCACAAGATGGATTCTCATGATATTTGTGAGATCACATACTCACCAGAATACTTCTTGGGATTCTCCTGCTGTAAGGTTCAAATTTGTCCAGCAGAAATCAGACAAATGATTGGTCTGCAGAAGCCAAAGGCGAAGCGCCCAAACAAACCAAAACAAACATGGTGACGCTGACAGACGTACTTCAGGATGTTTTAGTGAAAATACAGACTGTTTTGTTTATGAAAAACTTGCAGATGGAAGCACTTTGGTCATTTGTGGACAGGGAACATGTTTGTGATTTTCTCTCAACTGGATTTAACAAAAGTTGCCAGTTCCACTGCTGTGAAGCTTCGACCAATCAGATTCAAATATTCAGGATGTTCTTTTCCTGATCTCTTTCAGTGAGTGCGTATACATGCACATCAGTAACCCGGTTATGATCGGGTTTTTTGAGTATCCCGGTTTCTTGATGGTGCATGTATACGCAGTAACCCGGTTTCAGGAACCCGGTTATGGCAGTATCCCGGTTATTAGAAACCGGGTTACTGTAGCTGGTTTATTCCGATAGTAACCGGGATACTTGTGGCATGTATACGCAGTATTCCGATTACTGCAACATAAAGTTGAGTGCGCATGCGTCCAAAAGACACTTTCCAGCCTTTCACCACAACAGTAGTCACATAAATAAATTGACCAACATAAATAAAGTGACCAAACGAGTGAAATGACTGTAAAATAAAGAGCTGCGCTAAACCTGCACACGTACAATCTGCACTCGTACGACCTGCACTCGTGTGACGCTGAAAAGCTAAAACATGAACTATCTCCTATACACTATACGCACAGAACACACTTACCATCATTAGCGCCTCTTCTGTCACAGAAATAACACACATAATCCACAGAGTCGTGTCATTTAGTCCAAAAGAAACTGATCACATCAGCGGCGCAAGGAGCGAGTTGTTTTTATCGCCGCTAACAGTTTATGCTACTTAGCCTACGGTCTTAAAGGTTGTATAGAGGATTTTCCAAGGAACGAGAAATCCAGCGACTGTTTGTCCTTTTTCAAATGTTGCGCATGCGTGAAACCACCCCCCCTCCCCTACAGCTCCCTACGTAGAAACGCCTCCTCCCGCCTCCTCCTCCTTACGCCAGAAACAGGTTTGTTTACAGCCGGTGCGCTGCACATGACTTGTAAACAACTAACTACAGTGTTGGTTAGGCAAGACGGAGAAGTGAGGAGCAGGGGGAGCGGGTGTGCGGACATTTCGTGCAAGGAGAAGAGCGGAGCAGGGAGCAGGGAGAGGAGAGAGGAGAGGGGAGCGGTGCGCGGAGATTCCGTGCCCGGAGAAGTGAGGAGCAGGGGAAGAGCGGATCGGGCAGCGGGGAGAGGAACAGGAAAGGGGTGCAGAGAAGGTTGCGCGGAGATTCAGTGCGAATGAACTAGCTACAACACGCAGCAGCAAGCGGACTCTTTCTTTGCCTTGAAAATGACGTTTTCAGACATAGGATATCGCTTTCGTGTCCTGAAAAAACGTTTGTCTAGCTCTTGGAAATAAAGTACGTTTTCATAATAAGCAGAAGTTTCCTGTCCAGGAGTAATTTGGCGACCAGTGCGTCAGTCTTTAGACCCTGCGTCTGCTTCAGTTGCGCCATCGCTGGAATGAATCTTCAAGAATCACCTTAGTTTGGCTTCGCTGCTTTTCCCCTTGTCTTCTTCTTTCAGTGACCTCAAAAACGGACTTTCTTTTGCGGCGAACTGCTCCTGGATTCTTGTCGCCATTGCAACAAACTTTGTGCGAACTGCGAGGAAGATATAGGTCAAAAAAAAGCCGCTAAGAACTGTTGCGTTGGTGGAGTAAACAGCGTCTGTGCGTCTTGCGTCTGTGGACTGTGTGACAGGTCGTACGTAAACCACGTACCGGCGGCGCTCAGGCAAGTCAGTTACGCTAGAACACGTAGGGAGATTGATTGACAGCCTGTCAGCTAACAGATAACGAGGCAGTGTCGTTATCTATTGGCAAATGTTTAGCCCCACCACGTCCAGAGTTGATGAATTTTTATTCTCTTTTTTTTGGTCATCATAATTACAAGGCTACTGCACCTCTATAATGCTATCATTGACAATTTGAAACAAAAAAAAATCCTCCATACAACCTTTAAGTTTCGTTTCTGTAAAACATAAACAAATGTGATCACAGCTGAATTATCTGATCAAACGGGCTGATGTGGCTCTATAGTGTTTATGGTTTATATGTTGTAAAGTTGAGTTTATTTATGCAGAAGATTTTAATGAAGAATCTGCACAGTGGATTGTGGGAGATCTCGTAACTCCTTAGCTTCTTATGCTAAAGGAGCTCACGGTTTGTATTTTTCCTGGTTTATGAAATTGATTTAAGTAAATTTTTGCGCCTGCGCATTTGTAAGATTATGTCAAGAAACCGGGATACTCCATTTGATCATGTATACGCGGATATGAGTGTCCCGGTTTCTCAGTGTGCACATGTATTCGCAGTAACCCGAATACTGACATAACCGGGATATGGCTAATAACCGGGTTATTGATGTGCATGTATACGCACTCAGTGAGAGCCGTTCCAGATTAATAATGTGTAAAAGTCACTTCAGAAAGTGACACATGTGAGTCTGGTGTGATCAGGTTAATCTTCGACCCTGAAGTCTTTAAGCAGATCAGCTCTGTCACGGAGCTGACACTAATGCACCGTGCCAAACGCACTCACTTAGAAGCACTTGATGAGGTCATAAAGGGGGTGGACAGGGTTGTCTAAAGACTACACCGATTTTCACAACATTTGAAACTATTTATGACTCTGTTTTATGCTCCTCATAACCTGGACTGGGTACAGTGTTTGGTTTCTCTGTGTCTTTACGCTGAAATAACAAATACATTCTAATTCTGATGTGTGTAGTCCCTTTGCTCACAGGAGGCATGTGTGTGTGTGTGTGTGTGTGTGTGTGCAGATGAACCACTGTGGGACCCAGGCTCCGGTGTGGCTGTCCCTCCAGGGCTCTCCTCTGCCGGCGCCGGGGGAGCTCCGGCAGCTGTCGGCCTGTGCCACCTGGCAGTTCTTCCACGGCAGCACCAAGGACTGCTGCCTCTTCAGGATCCCCATCTCTGTGAGGAACTGTGGACAGTTCATGGTCTACTACCTGCAACCCACACAGGGCTGTATGGGCTATTGCGCCAAGGGTACGAGGACTGTGGTACTCTTACTCTGCTACACTGCTGCATGTCTAAGTAAACATGCATTTGAGAGGTTCATATGTAATGTTTATTAAAGAGCATGTATTATGCAAAATTGACTTTTTTTAGTAGGGTTCTCCAACCTTTTTCCTCCAGTGAGCTACTTGCCTACTAATGCCTACTAATTTTAGCAGCCACAAGAAATTGAGTAATAAGAGGCACGTCGAGCTTTAGATGAGGTGCAGTTAGATGTCTGTAAAACATAAACCATTATCCATTTATTAGTGTACAAAGTCAGGCATCAAAATGATACATTTACAATGGTAATAAACATTTAATGAATCAAATTGTACTTATTCAGCACAATACATATAAATCAGTAATCCCCTAGCGAGCTGCTTGGAAGAGAATGGAGAGTGACCAGTAGCTCCCATAGACTGTATATATGAGTGGACATAGCTAACGCTCTAGCTGACGTGAGCCAGATATGATGCTCACCAGGAGGCTCTTCTGGCTCCTTCTGACTCTGGCTCCAATGGACTTATACTGGGATCTTGTGGCTTCTCTCTGTGTAACTTCTGCAGTGAGCCTCGTCTTTTTGGTCTTAAATTCATATTAACCCACAACACATGATCCTGAATTTTATTTTTTCTATTTTGTCTGTCAAAAAAATCCTCTGTCTGAGTCTGGCTTCATATTGGCTCCTGTAACCATGAACATCACGAGCATTATTTGAGCAACGCTGAACACTGTGAGTGACGTCACACTCACTTAGTCCACTTCTTTATACAGTCTATGGCAGTTCCCAAGCTCCAGGTTGGAGACTCTTGTTTTGAGTTTTAAAACCATGTTAAAATATAGTTCTCTTGTCAAAAACATATGTGGATGGTTGTATGACATTTCATACACACTGGTTTCAGTAATCCTCTGTTAAGTTCCTTTCCCTTTGAGCCTCCCCAGAGTGACCCTTGAAATTTCCCAGAATTGTGATTTCATAGATTGAAGCTCTGCACAGTTCATCCATAAATCATCACTAGATCTGTTTTAAACGTTTCTGCCATCACACCGTGTTCATTTCTGCTGCGTGCTTACACCAACATGTCAACACATGTTCACTGTTTCCTCGTTAAAAGTAAAGTAATGTATATTTTTTGTGTGTAATGTTTTAGCTGCTCCGGACGTTTCCCCCAGACGCTGTGCTCCAGGAGAGGTGGAGGCCAACGGCAGATGCACAGGTCAGACACAGTTGATTTGTATTGATACTTTGGAGTGACGTCACGCTGGGGATGTTCTACATGTGTTTCTATGGTGAAATATTCAGGAGTTTCCATGGGGTCCGGTCAAGCGGTAACGGAGGGAAACTGGGGCAGATTTTTTACATTCAAATATATTATTAATTATTCAGAAACTAGAGGGACTATTGAAATAAGTAAAGTATTAGAATGTAGGAAAGAGTTACACTCCAACAGGGTCAAGTTAAACCTGTGATATTCTTTCAAGTTGTTGACAAAAAACTTAAAAACTCATGTTGGTAACAGAGGGAATGAAATATGCAGCACTTTTTGGGCAATAAATCCAAACAGTGATAACTCTTGGTTCTCACTTCCATATCCTTAACAAACTGGTTTGAATATTTGCTTCATATAGTTTTCTACCATATGGTACAAGATTAGGTTGAAAAACCTCTTATTTTTTGACTCATGAGATTTTTTATTAAGAAAGGTCATGGTAACGGAGGGAAAAGTAACGGAGGGAAAATTGTTCAAACAAGTAGAAGGTGCAGGATTTTACATCATTTGTTGCTTTTTTCTTCCGAATACTTTAGTAATAGGTAACTATTTCTATAAAATATGTCAGTCCTTCCAAGCAAATTTTGATCATTTTAAATACTTTTTTTTTTTTTTTTTTGGAAAAATCATGTACCTTCATCAACAGTTCAAAGATGGAATAACACAAGATATGATGAAATACATCCATTTATTTACATGATTTGCAGATCTTGAAATTTGGGAACTAATTTTTGTTCCATGTTTCATACATGGTCTGTTTAAAACATATGGAACTTTAGAACCAAAAATAGTACAGAAAAAAGGTCAACAGTTTCATAAACTAGAGTACATATGTATCTGTTCAATACATTTTTATATCAGATGCATTAACTTGAATTTTTGGCCTTGCTGTTTACTTCTGCTTGACCAGACCCCATGGTTACACAATGCACATATTAGCAGCCAGAAGAGTTTTAAATAAATCAAGCCAAGAAAAAAAAAAAAAAGGATTTAATCAGCACATTTTCAGTAGGCTTTGATCAGTACAAATGTTCATGGTCCTGTTTAGGAGTTTGTATTTCAACAAAAACGTAAGAGTGACTAACAGCTACATCACACCTCCAGAGAATATTGACATCAGCTGCAAAGTACAAACTGTGTGTTCCCTGAAGTAACTCTCCCCTTGTGTCCAGCTCCCGTCCCTCCTCTGCTGACCCGACCCCTCATCACCTCGGAGCTCGTGGGGCAGAGCGTGCACCTCCGCTGCTCCTTCTCCCCCCCGCCGTGGAGGGCTCCGGTGGGCTTCCAGGTCCTGTGGGCAAGGTACATCGGCCAGAGCATGAAGGCCGAGGTCAGGCAGGAGGCCACGCTGCGCCCCTTCTCTCTGGTGGAGATGGATGGGGTTCACTTCAGGCTCGGGGAAACGGTAATGTGTCCCAGACCCTCTCAAGTCTGACCTGGTACATCCTCACAAAGCCCGGCCAAAGATAGAGGCAGAACAAAGGGAGAAGGAGGGGGAGGAGGAAGAGGGGGAAAATCAGTTACAGATTGGCATGCAGAATGTGGCCCATGTTAAATCCATTACAGGTACCCTCCATACGCTCGGCTCTACACAGCTCCTCCTGTCTGACTTAAAGAAAAGATGTCAGACAGAGAGAGCCTGTGGAACTGGAATACACCTAATGATTAAAGAGAGTATTATGCAGAATTGATTTTTGGAGCTTTCCACCATGTTACATCATTGTTCCCTCATCTGAACATGCCTGAAGATGTTTTAGATGTCATCTGTGCATGTTTGAGTATTTTAGCGATCTCTCCTGGGAACTCTCCTCACTGTCAGCTGTAAGATTCTGTTCAAAGCTCCACTCACAAGCCTACGTCACCCATTTGTTTTATTTATTCAATATTTGACCAGCTAAGTCAATTGAGAACACCTTCTCAGTTGCAATGACGACCTGGCAAGAGGCAGAATAAAACATCACAAACATGAAACAGTGAATAGAGACATGAGACAGTGAAACATTTGCAGATTAAAGATATAAAAGTGTTAAAAACATGTGCAATGATCCTGTAAAATACTCTGGATGGAGTTTTTAAAAGTCGACAGAAGTCCCACTGAGTCCCATTGTAGGTCCCGTGATCTCACGCGATATCCATCCATTTTCTTCTGCTTATCCGGGGCCGGGTCAAGGAGCAGCAGGCTAAGCAGGGACTCCCAGACTTCCTTCACCCCAGACACGTCCTCCAGCTCTTCCGGGGGGACCCCAAGGAGGTAGTCATAGACATAGACATAGTCCCTCCAGTGTGTCCTGGGTCTTCCCCGGGGCCTCCTCCCGGTGGGACATGCCCAGAACACCTCCCGAGGGAGGCGTCCAAGACATCCAGAACAAATGCCCAAGCCACCTCAACTGGCTCCTCTCGACGTGGCGGAGCAGCGGCTCTACTCCGAGCTCCTCCCATGTGACTGAGCTCCTCACCCTATCTCTAAGGGAGCGCCCAGCCACCCTGCGGAGGAAACTCATTTTGAGCGCTTGTATCCGCGATCTCTCACGTTCTGTGAGATTGACAGGAGGATGGGTGCAGTGTCTGTAGTGATGCGGTCGCTGTATTGAACCATTGTGATGAAGAGTGAGCTGAGCCCTCACCTATGGTCATGAGCTCTGGGTAATGACCGAAAAGACGGGATTGCGGATACAAACGCTCAAAATGAGTTTTCACTTGCAAAATGACACAATATGTAAATCTGTGTGTGTGTATATAATTAATATTCTGCAGAAGTGAGTTAAGCATTTTGGCCTCTACAATATTTTATGTTTCTCATGTGGCCCCTTGGAAAAAATAAATTCCCCATCCGTTCTAACAGGTATCCACACTTGAAACTCTGCCCCTGCAGACATCACAAACTGTGATCAGGCAGTAACTGGTGATGTCACCAACTACATGTAATTACATGTAATCGCCGTGACCTCTGGAGGCAGCACATACTCAGCTTTTGATCAGAAAACTGCTAATTTACCTAATTTTCACAGAAATTGGCAAAAATGACTTTTCAGTAGTATATTCAGACAGTATAAACACAGTTCAGGAGCAAAAAAGTGGATTTAGTGTTTAGTTTCATTCTAAGATGAAACTAAAATACCACCCGCCTGAGTTATAGACAAACAACCAATAATTTCCAGGGGACCTAAAGTAAAATAAAGAACTTGCACAAAAACAGAAGGAGGTATAGAATGCCCCTTTCCCATAACAGTATAATGGTTGTGGACAAAGCCGTGCTCCTCCACACACTGTAAACATGTTGTGTGCACTGGGGCTGGCTGCCATATTTGGACATGAGCTGGGTCTTATCAGTGAGCCATGTGAATGTAGTGCATAGACCATCGCACCAGCCTGCACTCACATGTGCCGCCAGATACTACTGCTGTGAGAGCACTGGACCAGGAACCTCATACTGTACAACTTCAAATAGTGTTTATTTATCAAACTGTTCCCATGTGTCCTTATATGTGTGTAATCCTCAGTGGTCCAGGTAGGTTCATAGTGTCCATGTGTCTGAGCTCAAGATCATTCTAAAGACATTCAGGAAAGCTTCATTTCTGTTCTGTGAATGTGACTTTTTTTAGTATCGATACCTGCTCAAATGAGTATCTAGTTTCTATATTAGTTTTAGAATCGATCAGTGAATAATTTTCGATACTTTTGACAACCCTAAGAAATAGGGATGTAACAATAACCAAAATATTGTGATGTCGTATCATCAAAGTTCTCACAATAATATCGTGGACCATCACAATATATCGAATTAAAAGTTCCTTTGCTTAAATGAAGAGTTATGGTGCAGCAAAAGCTAAAAAAAGACAGAGGGAACTACATAAGCCATGATCCTTTGCTCCATTTCAGTGCAGACTACAAGAAGAAATAACAGTTCTAACACTTTTAAGTCTTAGTTCTGTGGATTAAGTCTTAAATCAAGGCATTTTAAGAGGAAAAAGTCACATATTAACAGTTTTAGGTGTTTAGCCTCCACAAAATATCACAATAAATATCATACTGTAAGATGTATATTGTGAAAACATTGTACTGAGAGATTTGGATATCGCTACATCCATAATCATGAGCCTCCACACATCTTCAGCTTTCCCACAATATTGCAATAAATATCATACCATGAGGTTCATACCGTGATGATATCGTATCGTAGACCTGGATATCTTTACACTCCTACTAACAAATAGTGCAGGTTTAAAAACCTGGGCGTCATTTTTGACTCTGAGCTAACTTTTATCCCACACATTAAGAACATCACAAAAATTGTTTTTATCACCTAAAAAACATAGCCAGAGTCCGCCCCATTCTCTCTCTGGCCAACACAGAGACGCTGATGCATGCTTTTATCACCGGTCGAATAGACGACTGTAATGCCTTGCTCTCTGGTCTTCCCAAAAGAGTATTTCAGGTTTGCAATTATTACAAAATTCAGCAGCACGTGTCCTGACGAGGACCAGAGGGCGGGACCACATTACGCCGGTTTTAAAATCACTGCATTGGCTCCCTGTGTGTTTCAGGATCGATTTTAAAGTTCTTTTACTGGTTTTTAAATGTCTTAATGGTCTTGGGCCCTCTTATCTTTCAGAACTGCTTTTACCTTACGAACCCTCGCGGACCCTGCGCTCCTCCGGCAGCAGGCTCCTGGTCATTCCCAAAGTCAGGACACACACTCACGGAGAGGCGTCTTTTCAGCACTATGGCCCTCGTCTATGGAACTGCCTGCCGGAGGAGCTCAGGGCTGCAGAGAACGTTCATGTTTTTAAGAGTAGGCTCAAGACCCACCTTTTTAGCTTAGCTTTTGATTGAAATCTTATACTTTTACTTGTTTTTATTGTACACATTTTACTATATTTATTTATCTTAGGCATATTTTTTAGGATTTCCAGTGTTTCCTTTGTAGGAGCCTCTGCATCGGGAGTGGAGGTCAGCTGTGGCTGCTGGGTCTGTCATGTGGGCTCCTGGTGGAGGGATGGTGCTTGGGCCTCAGGTGCCTGGGCTTCATCTCTCCCCTGGACCCTGTGGTGGTTCCTGGTGGTGGTGGACGTCTCTCTGCTCCCGGTGCAGACGGCTCCTCTGATGGTGCTTTCTCAACTGGTTCGCCTGTATTCAGCCTCACATTTTATTGTGTCCGGTTATGTATTTTAGCGTGTGAGTGTGAGTGTGTATGTGTGTGTGTGTGTGCATGTTTGTGTGTAAGTGAGTGTGTGTGTTTGGGTTGTTTGACTATGTGGGGTTGGGGTGTGGGGGTTGGGTTGGTGGGTGGGTGGTTGGGTGGTTGGAAATGCGGGACTGTTTTTAATCACTGTAAAGCACTTTGTGTTGCATTTTGTATGAAAAGTGCTTTATAAATAAAGTTTGATTTGATTTGATTTTGATTTTGATTTGATTTGATTTGATTTGATTTGATTTTGATTTGATTTAAAGGGCCCATCTCATGCAAAATCAACTTTTCAGAGCTTTCTACCTTCTAAGAGTGAAGGTAGAAAGCTCTGTATATGTCGCCAAAGTGGTTTTTAGATTAATTTGGCAGTTTTTTTAACAAATTGCAGCATATTTCTGCCACCCTCCCACATGACAATGAACTAAAGCTGCTAACAACGATGACGCCGATTCCGGGTCCAACACATGCGGCTGAACGCGCTGTATCACCATGATGAATAAAAGTTTATTCCTACCACTATCAGGGTCACGTCTGTCTCCCCCTCCCTCCCTGAGATGGCGGAGGAAGGGCGGCTCACTCGTCGCCTACGTCACGTTTGGAGGGCGGAGCCTGTGCTTTCTCAGGACGGGCGGGGGAGGAGCAATAGTCGACCTTTCATAGTTCCTGGTCTGTGACTGTCTCCAAGAAATCAGTAAGATTTCAGAACTATTGTGTAATGGATGTTCCAAAACCCAAATTGTGCTTGTTTATGTGCAGAAGAGTTATTTTGCATGAGATGGGCTCTTTAACAAATGAGAATGATCCCGGTGTTCTCTGAGACTGATGTTTGTAGGTGTTTGTAAAGGGAAACACGTGGCTATAATCAGGGCAGTCTAGGATCTGAAATTGCACACCCGCTTTTATACACTTTGACCACAAATCTGCAAATGCACCTAGTTTGCACTAAAATTGCCAAAGACGACTTATGTTTCAGAACTATTCAAACACTGTATACACAGTTTAGTAGCAAAAAAAGTTGCTCTAGTGTTTAGTTCCAATTTAAAGGGTATATATAACAGCGGTCCCAGGACTGGTACTGGTCCATGGGCCATTTGGTAGCGGGCCTAACAGAAAGAACAACTAACTTACATTATTTCTTATTATTTTATAATTTTATTTTATTTATTATCTGAGTTTGAAGAGTGTTTTATTTTGAAAAATGACCGAATTCTCTCCATTACATTCATCTATGACTCACTCTTCACTCACTTTTGATGCATGCTACTTGTCTTGGTCACATGATACATTAACACTAAAGATACATTAACCCACAAGCTGCAAAATGAGTAAAAAACAGACGTCTTTAAACATTTATTATATTTACAGAATACCACAGTTTTTGTGTTGGTCGTATCATTTTATTATGTCGTATTTACCCACCACACCTTAAAGGTCGGTCACTGAAAATATTGTCTAATATTAAACCGGTCCGTGGCACAAAAAAAGGCTGCAGACTGTTGATTAGAGCCCTGCGCTCCCACGGGCCTCCCACTGGACCCGTGGGACCCGACACAAAACAGTGCAGCGTGGGACACATTTTGAAATCTCATTGTGGGCGCATGTGGGAGCAGGACTGCATGATGCGGGAGCGGGTGGGTGGGATGATAAATTGCAGTCCCGCAAACTAAACATGAGTGTCAAGTAAAATATACAAATGATTCATGCTTGTCTGTCATACATCATTTGTGCTGGATATTTTATTTGGCATTAATAAAAACATTTTAAGCAGCCTAAATTTGCGGACGTGTTCTAATCTCATGCACATTTTAGACAATTCTTTTCCGCTTCTCCGTGTTTGATAGAGTTTAAGAAAGCGAACATCCCCATCTTGCAGAATTTGTGGGCAGGAGCGGGACAAAATATTACAGATGCGGGACTGAAAATGATAATTCTTTGGGGGAGCGGGACTAAAAATTCAGTCCCACACAGACCTCTGCTGTTGATATATAACACAAACTTGACTCTTGAGAGCTTTAAGCCACGTTAAAATGTTACCTCATCAAAACATATCTGGAGTTGTGTTTTGTTTCATTCGCACATGTTTGAGTAAGTTTTTATTATCAGTCTGTTTACATCTCCAAACAAAATGCTCTGTTCCACCTTGTGATGTCACATAGCTGTAGTTTTCAAGTCAAGTTACCTTTAGTTCAGCAGAGATCAGCAATTCAAGGGTTTAATAAATGATCCAAATGATTCTAGTAGGTGTGTGGAGTTTAAAAACACAGTGGAGCACTTCCTGTATTACCACATGACATCACAACATCTCAGAGTGTTTTCTGTTTGAGAGAAGAACTGAGTCGTACCCAAATGCATGCTCTGTGAATGAACTGCAGGTATGTTTTTGATGAGGAAACGAGATTATAACATGATTTAAAGTCCACACTACTTCACAGAACTTCATGTGAGTTTTTCAGATTTGCAGATATTGTTCTGAGCTTAATCTTTCCTGCACACTCATTGATTTTGTGTTTTTCTTGTGCTTGGACAGTTCTCGTGCAGTGTGTCGGTGTATGAGGTTAACTCCTCCGTGAGTCGCTCTGCTGTGAGGGAGAGTGAGGCTTTCTTCGCAGGACTGCAGGTAAAGCTCCTCTGTGCTCCTCTTATATTAGGCCCATACCCCAAAGTAGACTGTTTATATTTATGGACCAAGCTGACCTGCTAGTCACCGCGTTCTAAATAGGAAGTGAGCATGGACGCGCTTCTGGCTCCATGGACTCTGGCTCCAATTCACTTTCTATTGAAAAACCGTGGCCTCTCTCTCTGTGACTGCGACTGTCAGGCTCGTCATTCTAACCTTAAAATATTCGCATTAACCTGCTCTACATCGGTCTGTGTACAATCTCTTTATCATTCATTCTTTTTTTTTTTTAATAAAACTGAAAATAAGAAAATTGCAAGTATAAAAAAAACCCAAAAAACCAACTACTTTCTTCATTATTTATCTCCAAAATCAAAATAAAACAACGGATAACGATTTGTTTTTTCTGTTTTTCGATTGTGTGTTTAATGGAAAATGAATAATGGAAAAAACTGCTAATGAGTTGTTCTTTTGAATTTCAATTAAGAATGAAAAAAATAAAATAAAATGGGCAAACAGTTTGTTATTTCATTGTTCCATTTTAGTGTAAAAAACAAACAAACAATGATTTTCGACCTCTATTTCCAATATTTAATTTAAAGTTTATTTCAAATAATGCCAATCAAAAAACAGTCTATTTCCTGTTTCAATTTTGATATTTTATTCTCTTCTAGCAGCAGAACTTCCGGGGCAAATAAACCAGAGAGAATAAAATATCAAAATTAAAATAGGCACAGAGACAAATTTTTGATTGGTGTTATCTGAAATAAACTTTAAATTAAATATTGCAAATACAGGTCAAATTTTTTTTTTTGTTTGACACTAAAACAGAAAAAATAAATAACAAACTGTTTTCCCATTTTATTGTTTTTCATTCTTAACTGGAATTCAAAAGATAATGAACATTAACATGGACCAACATGGAACTGGCATTTTTATTTCACTATTTTTGTAAATCAATATATAACTTTAATAACAGAGCAATTAAACAGTTTCTTTCCCCAAGTTTGCTCCCGCTAGTGTTTGGTTGACAGTGTTGTGGGCGGCGAAGGGGCGTTACCTTCAACTGCGTCGCTCCAGATCGGCTCTTTGGTTACTATGATACCTGCGGTCGGAAATCCAAATATGTATAATCAATATATTCAAATTCATCACTATAACTGCAAGCCTCGATGAGCTTCATTTGACTGGAGCTGAACGGTGTGGGTGACGTCACACTCACTCACTCCACTTGTTTATCCAGTCTACTGCAGATGACTGTGTGTGTGTTGTTTAGTTCTCTCCAGGCTCTCTGATCATCTCTGAGGACAGCCAGGAGCACCGGGTGAGCCTGTCCAGCACCGTGCCCCTGCCCTGCCCACACCGGAGCCCCCACTGTGGACTGCCCCTGTCACTGAGCGTCCAGCAGCCCGGTCAGTCTCACACATCACTCACGTTAAATGCACTTTCAACTGTGTCAAGTGATACAACTAGGGTTTTCAACAGTATTGAAAAACAGAAACTAGTATTGAAACTAGATTCTCATTTGAGCAGGTATTACTACAAAAAAAGTTAGAATGTTGTTTATGTATATGGACCAGTGTGGAACTTACCTGAACCACTGAGGGGATACACAGATATAAAGACACAAGGGAATAGAAAGGAAAGTACTTTGACTTAATGATGAAAATCACATTCTCTTGTCTAATGCCGGACATACACTGTGCAATATTTCCCATCATTTCACTCCATCATCACTGTTCTCACACTATATGATCCGATGCTCGGATGCGACCTGAAATATGAGAAATGAAATGTGAGGAGACCCAATGCTGGAAAAAGACAGACGTGCTGCCTTGGTAAAAGCTGCAACTGAGCGCCAATCTCTCCACAACTCTTCTCTCTTTTGTTGTGATCATGGAGCTTGCCAAAGCTCCATTAGCTGAGCCTCTATTGCATGTGTTCAAATCACTCACTGGCCCGCCATGGTCCTCCACCAACTTCATATTCTTACATTCCACTTCTGTGTCAGTGCATGGGCAGTTTGGCAGATTCTGGCAAATCTGCTCATGGAACAACTTCAACAGAGCGAAACCCTCATGAGAGGTGACTGGATTTGAAACAGGTTTGATTTTCTTGTGACCTACGATTGCCGATCGGGAGCTGGTCGTGAGGTATTAATTGGTTCTCGTTACCCCATGTTTACTACACGAAGCACGACACACGATTAAGCCAAAACATTGCACAGTGTACTCCCAGCTTAAAGAAAGTGTTCGGTTTTATTCTATTGTTTATTATTTTATTAAATTAACCAAATCTATAAGTATCTAATTTTTGATACTTTTTCACTCACAATCTGAACTGGCCCTGTTCTGTACGAGACACCAACTGACGGTGTTTTTGTGATGTGTGCCCTCCACAGACTCCGGCCAGCCTCCTAACATCGCTCTGTCGGCGTGCCAGGCGGAGCTGATGGCGAGCAGGTGTAACGGCAGCGTGTGCGGGCAGGGCTCCTTCACTGTCACCGCGGTAACAGACTTCACCCGTGACCACAACCGCGCCAGCCTCGTCAGCGCCCGCTTCGGACCCACCGCTCCCAGACTGTGGAGGAACTACTCACCCGCACCTCTCAAAGTACGGGTTGATACTAATGATGCAGCAGGGGTGTGATGCTAACTGTAGGCTCTGCTCTGTCTGAGGCTCTGACAGACTTTAATCTCAGCTTTTTTTTAAAAACAATCTGAAGTTGATTTAGCTGGAACTTCAACACCTCAACTATAACATGAACGCTCGTATGGGTCATAAGGTTTTAGTCCTGGTTTAGTCCTGGTTCAGACCTGGTTTTAGTCCTGGTGTTAGTCCTGGTTTAGTCCTGGTTTAGTCCTGGTTTAGTCCTGGTTTAGTCCTGGTTTAGTCCTGGTTTAGAGGCGCACAGGAGGAAGCGCGGTCCCTCTCTTCGTTAAATACAAAGTGATGTCTGAATTTCGAGGACACAAATGTGTTTTTACTCGTGCACTGCTGCCTTTGTTCTACTGGCTCCTCGACCTCGTCCTTTGTGTGACTGACGCCACCAACTTTAACAAGATGTTAACACTGCTCTTACTGCCGTGTTCTGTTTCAGTTTCTGGCAATGAGTGGAAATACTAATTTTTAAAAAATTGTCCAAAATAGCCCAAAATATGAAGACAAGAAAATATCGCTGTGTAATCTATTTATTTCAACAAAGTAACTGTAATCCAATTACCACTCATTGAAACAGTAACTGTAACTGAATATAGTTACTCATAATTTGTACTCTGATTATGTAACTCCGGTACATGTAATCTGTTACTCCCCAGCACTGGTTGAGATGCACTGTAACTACATGTACTGCTCTAAATGACATATTAACAGTTTGATGAATGTTCCACTGTGTTTTTACATCCAGTTCAGATGAAAGCAAAGACATCACTGTCCACAAATGCACAAAGCAACAAAGTTCTGTTAAAATAGGCTGAAGTTTGTCTTTATAATCCCTCAGGCGTCCAGGAAGGATCCATTCCAGTTCTGATCTGAAGAAGCAGCTTGGATGAGCTGCTAAATGTCTTCCATCAAAGACTTTTGTCCGTTTGATAGAATTGAATTTCTCTTTTGCTCAGGCTGAAGTATGTTTATTCTGGTTTGTTTGGAGCTGACTTCTGCCCAAACCACAAAGCTCCTCTGTGTTTGGTCAGTGTCCACACAGTGTACTGGACCACACATGTAACGCTTCAGGTGAAGTCTGATCAGATGAATTCTCAAGAATCTGTGAACTCTCAAAAACTGCGAGAATTCTTGCAGGCAGGGTTATTGGTCAATGGCCACTTCTGTCATTGTGTCCTTAGGCAAGACACTTCACTCATTTTGCCTGTGAATACTTTAATCATATCATATATCTTTCTATATTTTTTTCAAACACAAGTATACAGGATGTCCCAAAAAACTGCCATCATTTTAAAAGCAATTACCTTGAAAACTGCTGTGTCTAGCTCAATGATGATGTTGGTCTAACAGATCCTTGAGTGGCTTTCCTCTTTAAATTTTTGGTTTGGTTTTGGTTTTTGGTTTGTTTGTCTGTTGATGAGTGAAGGTTTTTTCCTAATTGAAGTCACGCTGCACAGTCTTGGGTGAGTGTGTGTGCAGCAGATTCCAAGACGCAAAATTATTCTCTTTGGGAATGAACGACTCAACCTGAAAACGGAACAAAAGTAAAACAATAAATATAAAATCTTGATCAGTTTCTATACATTCTGTGAAAATTTGAGGTTATTTCAACAAGAATTGCTAACATTTTTGGCGAAATTATGTAAAGTTTTTGGGACACCCTGTATTTTGTAGAAATACCAATCCCCCAGAGAAACAGACCAAATGAGTTTTTGTATGTGACACAGAAAGGAGCCCCTCGACTAGACCCTGTTGGCTTCAGCAAGTTACAACTGTTAATCCTCTGAACAAACATGAGCTGTGTTTAATAGGGGCTATAAAAGTCCGTGTCCCCTCACTGTGGTGGTCCCAGTGGGGCAGGAGGGGGCACAGGGGCAGGAGGGGGCACAGGGGGTGGAGGGGGCACAGGTGTGGATCTACACAAACAGTACATTCCGTTCGAGCACGACTACAGGCACAGTGTTTTGACCTAAACAGGACTTTAATAATGGACTCTGAGAGCGTGTTGATATGCACACTCTGACTTGGATGAGACTAAAGATGTCCATGAATGCATCAGAAGTGGCAGAGTAGCCGAAAATTGTACTCAAGTAAGAGTAACTGTACTTCAGAACAGAGCATTCTGACTTTGGAGATATAAATAGTTACTCAAACATGTGTGAATGAAACAAAATACAACTCCAGGTCTGTTTTTGATGAGGTGGTAAATCTAGCTGAGTACTATAAATCTGTGGAAAGCATGAGTGGGTTCCAGTGCTGACCTTTGCCCTTTGCCCTTTGCCCCCAGGTCACAGTGCAGGACATCCCCACGTCCATGTGCTACTCTCTGACCGACCCCCACATCATCACGCTGGACGGCAGGTAGGTCATTCCTCCTCCTCGTAAATCTGACCACACACTCTGGTTTGGCCTGTTTTTTTGGACTTTACAACACGAGAGACGATCCGTTATGAACCTGTAAAGACACGACTGTCGCGCTCACATGGCCAGAGCCTCCTACTCGAATGCAGCTTGGTATTTCAGGACTTTCTTAGCTCTCACTTAGTTCGTAAAAGCGTAGTAGTTACATTACAGCTATGTATAGGTCATTCAAACCAAAACATACATGACCCTGGTCGTTCCTAAAGCCCACACAGCTTTGGGCCGCTCCTCATTTCAGTTCTGCAGCAGTGACTGGAAACACCTTCAACAGACTTTAAAACTAAGTTAGTTTTTTTTCCATCCAGAGTATTTTACAGAATCAGTGCACATGCTTTCAACACTTTTATATCTGACGGGTTACTCTGCCTGCTCATTGCAATTAAAATTTCAGATATCCGTGCTTTGTATAGAATTAGGAGGAATTTCATTTTCATTTCATTTCATTTATTTATTTGTTTGAGCCAGGTACAACAAGATTCAAAAGCGATAACAAAAATAGTGATATGTACATGACATATTTGGGACCTGGTGGAGTAGGATGAAGTTTAAAAAACGTATGGAGTCCTACCCCGATTGTTTTACATAATCATGTGGTTCGGTTTTTTAGTTTAGTGTGTGTACAATTTAGTGTTTGTACTGTTTAAAGAAGTGGACTATAGGAGTGTGACGTCACTCATAGTATTTGCTTCCAGTCAAATGAAGTTCACAAGGCTGGCAGTTATAGAGAGGGTCGATGATGTTTCAGTGTAAAGTCAGTTAAGAGCCAGTGTCGATGGAGCCGGAAGTGACTCCATGCTCACCTCCTATTTGGGATGTGGCGGCTAGTGTATTAGCTATGTTTAGTTTGGTTTAGTTTAGTTTAGTGTTGTATTATTTGAGACCGGTCTTGGTCTTGAGACTGGCCTCAAGACCTTTTTGCAGTCTTGGTCTCGTCTCGAACTCGACCACATTTCGGTGGTCGAGTTCTTTGTCTTGGACTCAGCCGTGTTTGCACTCGGTTTGCACTCGGTCTTGTCTCGGTCTCAAGGTCTGACACTCGATGAGTGATAATATGGATATAGATTTATAAAAACATGTATTTATATAAATGTGCCAAAATTATGGTAAAATACAAATAAATGTAGAAAAAGACAAAGATGGTTTCGATTTGGTCTTGATGGGCCGTGGTCTTGGTCTTGTCTTGGTCTCGATCTTTAAAAGTCTTGGTCTTGTCTTGGCCTCAACCCTCAGATGTCTTGGTCTTGTTCTGGTCCCTGTGGTCTTGGACTGGTCTTAGTGCGCTCTTGACTACAACACTAGTTTAGTTTGTCTATTTATATACACAGTGTATGGTTTGTACACATGCAAACAGGATAGCAACCCGACACACAAATTCAGCTCATGGGACCTAGTCAATAACAAATGACTCTTTATTGTCTGTCATATTACTGTACATACAACTGTTGTGCAGGCAAGATCAAATTGTGTTTCTCTAGGTATCAATTATATAAAAAGAACATCATTTAAAACACACTCTTGCCCCCCCTCCCCCCTTGCCCCAACACATCCATTCACACATCGCTGAGACAGTGTGGTTAGAAAACTGATTGCTGTGACCATAATAGCTGTCTGTGTATAAAGTACCAGTTCAAGTGACTGATGATGTGAGATAAATACTTTGACAGTCACAAGAGAGATTCAGAGATTTAAGACTTTTGCAGTGCGCCTTTGCTTGTTTACATTCCATTATTATACCACTTCAAATTATTCATCAAATAAACTTTAATCCATCCCAGACTCCACAGCGCAGGTGAAGCTACAGGTAAAACTGTTCACTCGTCCATCTGCCTCAAGCGTCTGATCGGTCTGAGCTCTGTGCAGACGAGTCATGTGATGTTTGTGAATGAGTCGGCTCTTTTGAAAGGTTCCTTTTCTCATTTTTTAAAAGAACCACATCTTTTTTACACTGAACCAACACAAGAATCAGCACAGGAGTACAGCAGGCAACATGAGTGAGAGCTTCATGCACAAAAAAACATTTGACATCATAATTACAGTCAGCCGGTTTTTAAATTATTATTATTATTGTAGTGTAAGGTTTTATTTAGATTCTGCAAAGGGTCACTCACTCCCACTGTCAGTTTTAACCATTATAATCTGAGCCTCGGTCTTTTCTCTCAGATGAGTTTGTAGATAAGCTGAGTTCTCACAATAGCAAAGTATCAGTTCAGTCATATATAAGTGTGTCTCTTGTGCAGGCATTACGAGCTGCAGCAGACGGGCACGTTCGTCCTGTACCAGAGCCGGGTGAGGGCCTTTGAGGTGCACTCTCGCCTGTGGGACTGTGGCAGCAGAGAGCACGCCGTGTCCTGCAGCTGTGGGGTGGCCGTGAGAGAGGGCGCTCAGCTGGTCGTACTGGACATGTGTAACGGGCAGAGGCAGGAGACACGGCCCCGGCTCACCGTCAGGCCCTCAGGAACACTCCCTGGACAGAGCCGAGTGCGAGTGCTGGAGTCCCACCACGGAAAGAAGGTCACTGTAGGTACCCAGTGTTTTCTCTGCCCACAGCCCTGCACATGCCCCGTGTGACTGTGCTTGTTCTGCAGCTGTTCTTCCCGTCTGGAGCCTTCGTGCGGGCGGACATCAGTGACTGGGGCATGAGCCTGTCTGTGCGGGCCCCCAGTGTGGACTACGGCCACACACAGGGCCTCTGCGGAACCTTCGACCACAACACCAACAATGACCTGCAGGGCCCTGATGGCACCGTCTACAGCCCACAAGAGGTGCTGCAGTTCGTGGAGAGGTGGAGGTGAGCCCCCTGCTGTGCTCATGTAGTATTACACTGTGTACACACTGCTCTTACATATGTATGTGTGTGTTAGGATGGGCCCTGGGGACAGTCTGTTTGACAGGACCCCACCTGTCACACAAGAGGAGGAGCAGAAGAGCTTCTGTCACTGCTCTGACGGCTCCAGCAGCTCTGCTCACACACACTGTTCTTCTCATGACCATGTGGACTACACGTCTGTGTTTCCCTCTATGGACAGCACCCTGGACTATCTGCAGGACATGTCTGAGCTCAATGCACAGTCTCTGGAGAGGAGGCACCTCTCAGACCCCTCCCTACAGGAGGGCGCTGAGGGGGAGAAGACAGAGGAACGGCCAAGGAGACAGGTCATCCCTGACCTGACTGACCTGACTGAGCTGAGCCACAGGTTCTCTTACTTCTTCCCTGAGGATCACTTAGCCTCTGCGCGGCCAGCCGTGGAGAAACACTGGCCCACCTCCAGCGGTCTGACCTCGGCCAAGGCCCTGGAGCTGTGCAGCCAGGCCCTGGTCAACTCCTCTGTGGGCAGTGTGTGCAGAGGACTGCTGGGGCGGCGCCTGGAGGAGGCCGTGCAGCTGTGCATGCTGGACTTGCAGCTCAAAGATGACCTGTCGTGGGAGGACGGTCTGCTGCCCTACCTGGAGAACGAGTGTGAGCGTAGGCTGCTGGAAAACAGGGCCCACACATCCCTGGGGGAGGGGCTGGGGGGTGAGAGAAGTGAGGGGGGAGAGGACGCAGAGGGGGATGAGGAGGCTGTGCTCACTGCTCTGCGCTGTCCCAACCTGTGCAATGGAAACGGGCTGTGTACAGAGGGAGGCTGCCAGTGCTTCCCTGGACACAGCTTCTATGACTGCAGCCTCACCATCAGTAAGTGTCTCTCTGCTCTACAGTGTACGTGTTATAACATGTGTAATAATGAAGGCCTGTGTGCAGGTCAGCCTCTGGAGATCACTGACCTGGAGAACAGTGGGCTGTGTGACCTGCACTCCTCACACTGCAGCAGCGTCAGAGTCTTTGGCCTCGGCTTCATCGACTCAGCAGAGCTGAGCTGCCACACCACCAGACTCACGGTACAGACTGTGGAAGTGACTCTCCTCTCTGTGTGAAGTGTCCCTGACATGTGTGTATTCCTGCAGTACTCACACGGGGCCTGGCTCCCTGCAGAGAGCCAGAGGACTAAGGCTCGGTTCCTGAGCTCCAAAGTCCTGGACTGCTCTGTGCCGGCTCTGAGCGGCTCCTCTGGGCACCTGGAAGACCCCCTGACCAATCAGCAACCCTATGCACGCTGGGAAATCAAGGTGTGAGTCTGCACCCCATCCTGAGGACATCCATAGACCCCCGCAGACCCCCTCTCAGCTCCCCCCTCAGACCCCTCCTCAGACCCCTCTGCTCATGTCTCACCTCCTGTGCTGCAGGTGACCAACGATGGGTTCCAGCTGAGTGCGGGCCGGGTGCTGACACTCTATGACGGCGTGTGTCAGCAGTGTGAGCCTGGGACCACAGGACTCTGTAAGTTAAAGGTAACACTGGGCTCCCATGGCCCTTCTGTTTAGGGTTCTACTCAATCTACTGGTCTGTATGTTTCTCTAATGTGGGGAGGAGATGAAGGCAAGTGCCCAAGTCCTCCACCTCCTTGATGTTTCATTATTAATAAAATGCCTTTTGTTTAATGTAATAATGTTGTAATGTGAGGATAAACAGATACAAATACTCAGTACTGCAGTAACAAAATCCCTGGTTGTGTGTGTGTGCAGGAGCGCACCTGCAGCATCGATGGCATGTGTTTCTCACAGGGAGACCCCAGCCCCAGCAGCCCCTGTCTCCTCTGTGACCCCCTGCTGTCCACCTCCAGCTGGTCCTTCAACCAAGGTACAACCACACACAGGTACACACAGGTACACACAGGTACACACAGGTACACACAGGTACACACAGATACACACAGGTACACACAGGTACACACAGGTACACACAGGTACACACAGGTACACACAGGATACACACAGGATACACACAGATACACACAGGTACACACAGGTACACACAGGTACACACAGGTACACACAGGTACACACACACAGGTACACACAGATACACACAGATACACACAGGTACACACAGGTACACACAGGTACACACAGGTACACACAGGTACACACAGATACACACAGGTACACACAGATACACACAGGTACACACAGGTACACACAGATACACACATACACACAGATACACACAGGTACACACAGGTACACACAGGTACACACAGATACACACAGGTACACACAGGTACACACAGACACACACATACACACAGGTACACACAGGTACACACAGGTACACACAGGACACATACACACACACACACAGATACACACACACACACAGGTACACACACACACACAGCACACACACACACAGGTACACACAGGTACACACAGGTACACACAGGTACACACAGGTACACACAGGTACACACAGGCAGTACTAGAGTGCACATGGAGAATGTACAGAAGGCGTGATTGTGCACAAAGTGTGTGAGGTGTGTGAGGCACTGAGGCCTGAGAGCAGCTCTGCTGTAGGAGCAGCAGGAGACACATCACATGCTCTCACACATGACACACAAACTCTAAGCTCATCACACACTCATCTCTGTTCTTTTACATTGTGGGAACTGATTCAGGTTGACCAATTATTACTGTGTTTATGTAAAATATTATAAAACATAAATATACCACAGTGAGCATCTGCCTACACTCTCACAGACACAACTGTCACATACCAGTGTTACACCCGCTTATCTCTCCACATGAGTACATGTGTGATGTACATGTATGATGTACATGTATGATGTACATGTGTGATGTACATGTGTGATGTACATGTGTGATGTACATGTGTGATGTACATGTGTGATGTACATGTGTGATGTATATGTGTGATGTACATGTATGATGTACATGTGTGATGTATATGTGTGATGTACATGTATGATGTACATGTGTGATGTACATGTGATGTACATGTATGTGTGATGTACATGTGTGATGTACATGTGTGATGTATGATGTACATGTATGATGTACATGTATGATGTATATGATATAAGTGTATGATATTAAATATATGACGTCTGAACATGTGTCTGCAGTGAATGAGGCTCCAGTGTTCCACCCGCCACAGCACAGGCTGCAGACTTTTGCAGGAGAGAACTTTGTTTTTCAGTTTGCAGCATCTGATCCTGAAGGTTCTGCTCTTCTCTTCCACCTGGACCAGGGGCCCCCGGGGGCCACGCTGTCCCCGGCAGGGCTCCTGATCTGGAAGGTCCCATCAGCGGATGAAGAAGTGATACACTGGCTCCAGCTGAGCCTGTGGGATGAGTGTAACGCACAGAGGCATGTGACTGTGGAGGTGGGAGCAGACAGGATGTTGTTTTACACACACTGTTAATGAGCAGTGAGGCAGCTGTTGTTGTGTGTGTCTCAGATCAGTCAGGAGCCCTGTGGCTGTCAGCATGGAGGCTCCTGTGTGACTGATGTGCAGTACCCAGCAGGCAGGGGGCGCTACCTCTGTGTGTGTCCCCCCGGGAGGACAGGAGAGCGCTGTGCTGAGGCCCTGGACCCGTGCCTGTCCTCCCCCTGCTCCGCAGGGGCCTGCGTCAGCACCCACACAGGCTACAGGTGTACCTGTCCCCCTGGTCTGACAGGTGAGTCTGCACCCCCAGCTTGTCAGGTGAATGGCCGCCTTCTCCCCAATGTCCTTGTGTTGTGTGTTCAAATGTCTGGAGACATAAAGAGAACAGAATATGTCATGACCGGTTCATGGTTCTTATCAGGACTGACCTGTCTGGAGGATGTGGATGAGTGTACCCGTTCACCATGTCACCTCGGGGTCCAGTGCTTCAACACGTTTGGCTCGTTCAGCTGTGGCCCCTGCCCTCGTGGCACCAGGGGCAACGGGACCACGTGCACAGGTGAGCCAAGTGCATGTCATTTTGCCTAGAATGTAATACAGTATGACATTAAAAATATCTCCATGGAGAAAACACACTTCTGTGAGTCTTTTGCACAACTCTCACTCTACTTGAACGAGGTCCACACATGAAGTCCATGTCTTCTGTTCTCAGCTGACGTGAAGTCGGCCTCTGTCCACTCCACACCTGCTCCTCAGACGACTGTCCTCAGAAGACCACATGTCCTCCTTCCACCCTCCAGACGCCTTAACACCCCCGTCCTGAGCACCCCCGTCCAGAGCATCCACAGAGCGCCACTCACCTCTAGGGAGAAGAGTCCAGAAGCACACAGTCAGATTCAAAAAGAAGCAAGAACCAAAAATGTGTCTGTAACTAAATCCAACTATTCAGAGAAGATACAACAAACCTTCATCGGCGTAACCAGGGATAAAGGAGATAAACTGAAGCCTGGAGAAGTTTCTACAAAGGAATTCAACAATATTATCCCTCAGGAAACTCAGCGGACATCAGGACTACGTGGACCTGCTGTGGGTAAGTGTAAAGATCCCCTAGTGGTGTTTAGTATAACATGCAAACAGTCAATCCTAATCTAGTTAAGTGCCATTGCCTTGGCATCTGAAGTCAACATGAACAACTTTGTGAAATGTCTCCAATTGTCAGTTTGGCAGCACTAGCACTGACACAGAAAGATCTCGCTTTCTATACACAAAAGTGTTTCCTGGTGACTCTTCATTTGTAAAACATTTAACATGTTGTCAGTGACATCCACCCACAGCTCTCTGTCCATAGCCTTATCTATCTAGGATTTAGTGATTTTAGTGCAACTTGGCAAAATCCTCTGCCAGATTTCATTGTGAACAGAGCCTATTATTCTGATCAATACTATGATAGGATTTGCAACATACATAATTCACAAGTTGACATTTCAAACATTGACAAAGTTCTGAGAGCACATTGAAATACAAATCTTTGACATTGTCATTGATGGGAGGGAGTGTTGTTACCAGCATGCCGTCTGCAAACTTAAAGCTGGGGTTTCCAACAGTGAAAATGAAGTATGTATCTATGTAACTAGTCCTGAGCTCTCACAAACCACTGGCACAGCATGCACATGTGTAGATTATTTAGTCACTAGCTCAACTTTAGAACAGAAAAAGTGAAGCAGGGTGGTCCACGCAGCCAATCAGCTGTCATCCCAAAGCGTCAAATAGTCATCAAGTCTGCAATAAATAAAATGTTTTCTAATTAGAGTAAGACCACATCTATCCATCTGATTGTTTTCACAAAGTTCTGCTTTTACAACACACTTTTTTGAGGGAAAACAGATTTTACTATTTTATTTCAGCTTCAAGGATTAGATTAAAAATGTGTGCAGTATGAAGAGGAGAGGGTCTAGCACACAGCCCTGAGGGACTCCGTGCAGTGTATTATAACACTCAACATTTTCTCTGTGCTTGTGGTGGATGGTTGGATTGACTCTAGTATTTCTCCATCTCAGGCTCCAGCTCCTCTATGAACGTGTCTGCGAGCTGTTCCAGTCGCCCCTGCTTCCCCGGCGTGCAGTGCATTGACCGCAGACCGCCTCACGTGGGCTATGTGTGCGGCCGCTGCCCCCCGGGTCTCCATGGCAACGGCCGTGTGTGTGTTAAAGATCCCAAAGCAGGTGAGTTCTTATGATTTAACCCTCACCAAAAAAATTATGCTTCAAAAAGCATATTATTTATATATAAATATGAAAATGTAAAACTATTGTGAAAAGTCACATTCTTGTATCTTTTAGGACCCAAACCTGTCCCACACACTCTCAAACCTGGACCGTCCGGACAGGACCAGCCGAGCCGAGTGTCCCTGCTGCACCTGCCCACTCTGCCCCACAGACACAGACACCTGTCCCACACCTCCTCCAGACTCCACAGGACCAACGTCCCCTGGCTGATGCCCGCGAGGGGAGGGGGCACTGGGAGGAGAGAGGTGGGACTGGCCCAAACAACCAACACATCAGCTCAGGTCACTGCACAAGGCCCCGACCTGAGGCCTCACATCACAGACAGCGGCACCAGCACAGAGGAGGTGAGAACTGTCAGAGAATTTTATCGATTTAAAGTGTGTGTGACAGGTTTGGTGAAGCTCTAATTTTGACTTAAGTTGGCAGGATAGTACCTGTTATATTTAATTTATAGTTTTACACAAATCAAGAAGCTACTTGCACAAAAAGTGGAACATTTTGTTGAAAAATGAACTGCAACAAGAAGTAGAGTGTTTTCTATTTTAAAGGATTCTGTACTGATGACATCATACTAGGCAGAACTCTCTCCAAAAGTTGACCACAACTACTTTAAATATTATTTTAATAACATAAAGGTGTTTGCTTATAATTCTATTTGTTAAATATTAATCTCTGTGCACAGAGGAGTTTTTTTCTACTGTACAACATGAGTGCTCGGTTACAGTTGTGAATATCTCTAGTGGGACGTCATGATTTCCAACCAGGAAAAAAATAAAATAAAATAAAATAAGACATTTAAATTTTAAATATTGCCATACTGGGAAGTTGTAAACCCTTAAGACATTATAATTGCTGTTGTCTATTCTAGTCTATTCCAGTCTAATCTGACTGTGCTTCTGTTGTAGGGAGTATTATACCTTTCATGACAGAAATAAAAAGGACTGAGCAAACACAGCACAGATTTTTAAAATTTTTTTTTACCTGGAAGAGAATACTAGATCCAAGTAAAAGGCCCTAAGAAGAAGAGATGACGCCTCTCATTGGCCAATCCAAAATAAAATAAATAAAAATAAAGAGTTAAATTTCTTTTAAATGTCTTTAAATCCCAAAGCCCCAAACCAGAGCATAATCAACCTCAACATCCAAGAAAAATCTCATGTCTCATGAAGCAAACACATACACCTGATCACAGTTCAGTTAGCATTGGTCATTTTCATGAACTAAAACTTTAACATTTATTTTATAAAATGTTGACCATAAAAAAAAATTAACACTAAAGATTAAAATATTTTGTAATGGTTTCTTTCAGATAATCCATCCAAACGCTCTTTTGCCCAAACCACTGGAAACCGCAGCCAAGCACACAACACCTCCACAGGCCCCCAGACCACAGACGAAGCCCCTACAAACCCCCCCAAAGCCTTCCACACCTCAGACCAAATCCCACCAGACGCCCCTGCAGCCACCAAGAGCCCTGACTGAAAACTCATGGCAGGATTCTCACCAACCGAGAGCCCTGACAGACCTCCGGACCCCTGCACAGCCACCAAGTCCCCTGACAGTGCAACCACGGACCCCACTGCAGACTACCAGATCTGTGTCTAATCGCTTGCATACCCCCCTTCAACCACCACAACCCCTGACAGAAGACCTTCGAAAAGATCCTCCACCACCCAGAGCACAGATAGAGAAACATCATACGCCGCCGCAACCGCTAACAACTCAGACGAAGCTTCTGCAGTCGCCCTTAACAATCTATCTACAAACCTCCATCGAGACTTCTAGATCCTGGTCTGATCACCTCCATACCCCTCTTCAACCACCTCAAGCCCTGACAGAAGACCTGAGAGAAGATCATGAACCTCCCAGAGTGCAGATAGAGAAACAGCAGACACCAAAGCAACCGCTAACAACTCAGATGAAGCTTTTACGCTCACCCCTGACAATACATCCACGGACCTCCATACAGACTTCTAGATCCTGGTCTGATCATCTCCACACCCCTCCACAACCTTACGCATCTCTAAAAGTTCTCCCACAGACCCCCTCACAGCCGGTTAGGCCCCTGACCGCGGCCCTCTCTGCCTTGTCCTTGTCCCAGTCCTCGGACAGCTCTCAGCAGGTGGAGTTTTCAGCAGATGGAGAAGATGAATCGTCTGTTTACAGTGCGGAGTCGTACCTGCCTCTGTTCCCCGTGACCACTAAAGATCGCGGCACCTCGTTGGTCAGCAGAGGGGTCAGCAGAAGGGTCAGCGGGGCGGTCAGCAGGGGGGGTCTCACCTGTGCGGATCAGCCCTGTTTTTCCGGAGTGCAGTGTGTGGACGCCTCAGATGGGAGCTTCCAGTGCCTCAGGTGTCCCGTCGGATACATTGGAGATGGTCAGACGTGTAGAGGTATGGAATGACGATTATGTTGATGTTTGTGCATGAAAGGTTAATTCTCACAGTACTTTTTGAGCATCCATCTCGGCAGGCTCCAATGGGCTGGAGACTGGGCCAATCACAGAATATAAACTAAAAAATCAATTCAGAGTGTTACACATCCCAATCTACTTTGAATGCATCACTGATGTTACTGAGACTACATGAGACATTATGTCAGGTCAGACCTGGACATTGTACATCTTCCAGGCGAGTGGTCGACTCTGACCAGCCTGTTTAAGATCATTTGGAATAAAAAAAATAAACATATTTTATCATTTGACCTCATGCATGAACTAAAGCTGCACTGCTTTTACTTTAGAGGTGTTTTTTTAATGACATATGTTGTAAGGCAGCCTCATTTTTCATTGTTTAGTCCGAACATAAACTCTTTCCAGTCTGATCAACTCATCAAAACAATGATATTTACTGCTTTTTTGTAATTAAATATAATTAATATTATGCAGATTTGAGTTAAGCATTTTGGCCCTCTACAATATTTTCAGTTTCTCATGTGGCTCATGGAAAAAAAAGAATTGCCCAGCCCTGGGTGAGATCATAGATAGAAGATCAAAGTTGTCTGGGTTTTCTGTTCAGTGATCTCAGTAAATATATCAGATAGACCTGACTGTGGGACAAATCATACTCATGTGGCCAGGCAAGTTTATTTCTATAGCACAACTGGTACAAAACATACTTGTGCTTTACAAATAAGAACATTAAAATCACAGTATGTACAAATTAAAACATAATTAATCATGTTAAAATGAACATTCAAAGACAACCTTTCAGTAATGACTAAACAGAATCACTTTGAACCTGAATTTAAACGTTGTCACAACAGGCCTGTCGAACTTCTTCAGGAAAACTGTCCAGGTTTTGGTGTTAGACCACAGAGAGACTTGTACAAAAGCAGAGCTGCTTTAAACTCTCTTCTCTTTCAGCTGTTTGCAGACACTCATGTGGGAGGAACATGGAGTGTGCAGCTCCCAACACCTGCCGCTGTAAGACAGGGTACACCGGACCCAGCTGTGAGACAGGTGAGAACCGCACCAGGTAACCGCACCTGACATATCTGAGGACATTACAGAATTGTCCCCATGTAAGGACATAGTGTGGTGATTATGTAAGAATATGACTGCAGGACACTGATGTGCTCTAACCCCTGTGCTGCAGCCGTGTGTGCCCCTGTCTGTGTGAATGGCGGCGTGTGCATTGCCCCGGGTGTGTGCCGGTGTCCCAGAGGTTTTCATGGAGAGAGCTGTGAGGAGGGTAGGTCTGCTCTGCTTCATGTGCATCAGAAGTTGTGATGAGTTTAAGCACCAGTGCGATTATGTGCTCTGTGTGTGTGTGTGTGTGTGTGTGTGTGCAGCCATGTGCAGACTGCCATGTGAAAACGGGGGCTCCTGTGTGGGACCTCAGACCTGCTCCTGTCCCGTTGGCTTTGTTGGACCTCGTTGTGAAACAAGTGAGTGGGACACAGAGTTTAGTGTGCTGCTCTATACTCAGAATGTTTTATGATAAATTTGGTAACTCACATTCAAGAAAATACAGATTTCAGTAAATATATTTATACCAAAAAACTTCAAATAGTCTCTGAAGGACAAACAAAAAATGAAGTCTAGCCTAAAACTAGTAGTTATTAGTTATTTGCCTAATTGTAGATGTAAATTATTTAAGTATTCTAAAATGAATGAGGTGGTATTATGCAAAAACATTAAAAGGTAATATCTCTATTATGTCTGTATTTATTTATGTAATGTTAATATGTCATAGAAGTGTAATAACTCCTCTTTAAAGTCACAACACTAGTCATATATTAAGTCATAGATACTAGTACACACACACACACACACACACACACACACACTGATCCTCTTCACGTTGTTAACTCTCTCTCTCTGTTTCCTGACAGTGGTGTGTAGTCAGCACTGTCACCACGGGGGGCGCTGTGTTTCTCCGGACAGGTGTGAGTGTGCCCCTGGGTGGACTGGACCGTCCTGTGAGAGCGGTGAGTTATACAGAGTACACAGAGAGGACTCAAAAACCCTGAATACACAAATATAATCTTAGTTTTAGTCTAATCTTAGTCTTCCAATAATTTATGTTATTAGTTTTTTTTTTTCAGACCAAGAGTTTGTTTTCATCCCTGACAGTTTGGACTGCTCACTAGCACTCTTCCACAGTGTGGTCATGTGATGTTGATGTGACATGTCACTCAGCTGATTTAAACAGGTTTTGGTGCTGTCTTCCTACTGGTGGAGGCAGGACGACAGCGCCACCTACAGTCCCACTTCCTCAGGACAGAATCCCAGGTGTGTGAACACCAGTGAAGTTCTTTTTTCAGACCAAGAGTTAGTTTTTCATAAGTGACAGTTTGGACTGCTCTCTGTGCTCTTCCTCAGACTGGTCACGTGATGTTGCTGTGATGTTGCTGAGATACTGTCCTGAGAAAGTCAGATTGCAGATGGTCATTTTGGCTCCACTAGTATGAAGACGGCGCCAAAACCTGTTTAAATCACAGGAACATCACGAGACCAGTCTGAGGAAGACCACAGAGAGCAGTCCAAACTGTCCAGTATGAAAAACTAACTCTTGGTCTGAAAAAAGAACCTAATAACAAAATATCTGAAGACCAAATGAACCTCATGGGACCCGTACAGAAAACTCAATCAAAATGCAATTACTCACCCACCCAAAAGACAAAACAGAACTGGAACATAAATGGAATGTCATAAAAGAAATAACCTGCATGTCATGAACTAAAACACACATCGGGGAAACTGGGAGGGAACATAGGACAGAATGTGAGAAGAAAACTGTGAAGGCGAAACATGAGCAACAAAACACAAAGCAGAACAGGAACAAGTCAAATCATCCATTTGTGACACTGTAAAAGAGAGAACATCATTCTAGACTGGGACTGAGCAAACATCACTGGAACAGAGGAAAACAAACACTGTCTCTGGATTAAAGAGGCAATCGAAATACAGAAACGTGCCCACGGGACGATAAACCAGGACGAGGGGCTTTTTTACTCTCACACACCTGGGATACTGTCCTGAGGAAGTGGGACTGCAGGTGGCGCTGTCGTCCTGCCTCCACCAGTTAGAAGACAGCACCAAAACCTGTTTAAATCATCTGAGCGACACGCAGTTTTGGGAGTGTTACTTTTCAAATGAATTCCCCTACAGATTACAGATTACATACCCCAAAATGTAGTTTGTAACGTAATCCATTAAATTACTTAAAGTGAGTAACGTAATCTGAATACTTTGGATTACTTGATTTTCTGTAGAGAAACAAAGACGAGGAAATCTTCACATAAGAAGTTTTATCTGCTAAAAGAAAATAAAAAGACCAGACTTTACTGAACCAGATTAAAAATATTATTGATAGAAGACGAGGAGACACGTCCACACAGCATGATTTAGTCCTGTTAAATCCTGTTTTATTCCTGGTTTAGACCTGGTTTAGACCTGGTTTTAGACCTGGTTTAGACCTGGTTTAGACCTGGTTTTAGTCCTGATTTAGACCTGGTTTAGACCTGGTTTAGACCTGGTTTAGAACTGGTTTTAGTCCTGGTTTAGACCTGGTTTTAGTCCTGGTTTAGACCTGGTTTAGTCCTGGTTTAGACCTGGTTTTAGTCCTGGTTTAGACCTGGTTTTAGTCCTGGTTTACACCTGGTTTAGACCTGGTTTAGAACTGGTTTTAGTCCTGGTTTAGAACTGGTTTAGTCCTGGTCTAGAACTGGTTTAGTTCTGGTCTAGACCTGGTTTTAGTCCTGGTTTAGACCTGGTTTAGACCTGGTTTAGATCTAGTTTAGACCTGGTTTTAGTCCTGGTTTAGATCTGGTTTAGCCCAAAATGTGAAAACAGGAAAATACCGCCATGTAATCCATTTATTTCAACAAAGTAACTGTAATCCAATTACCACTCACTGAAACAGTAACTGTAACTGAATACAGTTACTCATTATTTGTACTCTGATTATGTAACTCTGGTACATGTAATCTGTTACTCCCCAACACTGGCGACACGTCACAGAAACATCACATGACCATGAAACTATCAGGTATGAAAACAAACTCTTGGTCTGAAAAAAGAATCTAATAACATCAATTCATAATAGTTGTATGTAAAGATCATAAGAATAACACTGTGACGACAACATTTTAGTGAACAAAACGACCCGCTCACTCCTGCCCCCTGTGGTGTGTGTGTGTATTCCAGCCCTGTGTGATCCTGTGTGTCTGAACGGAGGTGTGTGCGCACGGGCCGACACCTGCCTCTGCCCCCCGGGGTTCTACGGAGCCCAGTGTCAGAACGGTAAACTCGAGTCCTACACTTGGTCTGGTCTCTGGTCACGTGACGCTGTGTAACCGTGTCCTCCTCGTCCCCTCAGCGGTGTGCAGCCCCCCCTGTAAGAACGGAGGAGTGTGTGTGAGGGACGGCGTCTGCTCCTGTCCGCTGGGATACTCAGGACCACGCTGCCAGACAAGTCCGTTTTATATAGACACACATCACCTTCTATTACACACACTAGCAGTCAAACCTTTTCAGTCCGTGTGTCATTCGTTCATTCATTTTTCAAAATAAAACCAAAAAATAAAAAAAAACACAACTATTTTCTTCATTATTTGTCTCCAAAACCAAAATGAAAAAAAAAAAAATATAATGATTCATTTTTTTTCAGTTTTTGATTTTGTGTTTAAATGAATAATGGAATAAACGGATAATGATCGTTCCCCGTTTCTGTGACTTAAACTGCAGCGCTTTTGTGCCGCATAAGGACTAAACCAGGACTAAACCAGGACTAAACCGGTCTCAGTCATGGTCTCAGTCCCGGTCTCAGTCCTGGTCTCATTCCTATCTAGTTCCAGTCTGGTCCTGGTCTCAGTCCTGGTCCTGGTCTTAGTCCTAAACCAGGACTAAACCAGAACTGAACCAGGAGTGTCGGGATGGGCCCGATGGTGCCCCTGCGTAGACTGTCGGGTGATCAGGAAACCAGGAGCAGACTGGGAGCAGACCGGAACTGAGACTGGGACTGACACCAGGACTGAGACCAGTTTAGACCTAGTTTAGTCCTGGCTCAGTTCTGTTTTAGTCCTGTTTTAGACCTGTTTTAGTCCTATTTTAGTCCTGGTTCAGTCCGGCATCGCAGTTTAAGTTACGGAAACGGGAAACAGCTATTATCCTTTTTTTCTATTATTCACTTAAACACAAAATCGAAAACTGAACAAACTATTATGGTTTTATTTTGAAAAACAAATGAACGAATGATACGTGGATTCTTTTCACACATTTCATTTTCATTCATTCATTTCATTTCATTATCTGCCACTTTGACCAAACAAGCCAGATGATTTCTACTGGACATAGAGAGAGCACCCAACCAACACACAATACAAAATACAAGAACAGATTCAATAAAACTCTGATCAAAAGTTTGATCAGAGTTTCAGAAGATGTCAATCCTGAAGTTCAGTGATCTCTCACTAGGGTTTGCAGTGCTGTCCACAAAGCAAAGGGTGGATACTGTGAGGAGTCGGAGTATCTTGCTTGCTTTCTTTCGTATTATCTGTATGTAATAGTCCAGCTCAGGTCCAGTATATTCAGTATAACAGGTAGTGATGTTACGAGATGTGCCGAGGCTTCGAAGCCTGTGTCGAGTAGTGAAGGGGGTGTTTCTGTGAAGCACGTATCGAGGCTCGCTTCATTTGGCGGAGGAGCCAAAAATGATGACGTCCGAAGCCTCGTAACTGCTTCAGGAAGTGGTTCGCGGATTTGGCGTTATTCGAAACATAAGGGCCAGTGAAACGCAACGGATCCCCCAAAACATTTTCTGGTTTTGGGTTATTGCGAGTTTGGTACATTCTATTTGAAATTTTTATTTTATTTTTTTGGCAATGGAGCCGGCAAGTGGCTTTTCTCTGCACGCCTGCTTCATCTGTGCGCTGTGAAAGGTTTTTTTTAAAGCAGGGGAAATTCTCTGTAAAAAAGAAACCGTCGTGAGTCCAAATACTGTGGAGAAATTGATAGTTTTAAATAAAAATTAATAATTTGACCCTATTTAATCCACGTATCATTCGTTTTTCAAAATGAAACCAAAAAGAAGAAAAAGAAAAAACAATGTTTTCTTCATTATTTGTCTCCAAAACCAAAATGAAAAAACAGATAATGATTTGTTTTTTCAGTTTTCGATTTTGTGTTTAAATGAAAAATGGAAAAAACAGATAATGGCCGTTTCCCGTTTACATGACTTCTGTGACTGCGATGCTGGATTTTTGCACTACATACAGACTGAACCAGACCGGAACAAGACCGGGACTGAGACCGGGACCAGAGCGGGACCAGACCGGAGGCTCAGAGCCCACGGTAGGGCCAGAGCTCGAAGCTGAGGCTCAGACCCTGCGGAGGCTCGGAGTCAAACCTCAGAGTTCACTCTGGTCCCGCTCTGGTCCCGGACCTGGTTCAGACCTGGATCAGTCCTGGTTCAGTCTGTATACGGTGCAAAAGTCCGACACCACAGTTATGGAAGTCACGTAAACGGGAAACGGCCGTTATCAGTTTTTTTCCATTTTTCATTTAGACACAAAATCAAACACTGAAAAAATTAATCATTATCTGTTTTTTCATTTTGGTTTTGGAGACAAATAATGAAGAAAACCTTTTTTTCATTTTCTTATTTTTGGTTTTATATCGAAAACCAAATGAACGAATGATACACGGGTTCTATTTTGCCGTCCTTATTGTGGCATAAGCACAGACATAAAGTAGTAACACAAACACAGTCACATTACATCCTGATCTCCAGTTTGTTCCTACTTTTTCTTTTAACCCGACCTTTATATCATGAACACAGACTCCAGGTTCATACATTCACACTTTATGTTGAAATCACAAACATTCGAATATTTAATCATTCATTTATTCAGTATAAATCTTTCCATCAGAACCTTGATGATCATGTTGATGTTCTATTTTCACTCTGAAGTTATACATTTTTTGGCCTCTTGTTGGCGCAGTGGAGCAAATGAAGCACCTTGAAGCATCGGCTCAAGAGTCGAGCAAATGGCTGGAACGCTTCAGTGCTTCATGGGGCTTCATCTCGACATCACTACTAACAGGGGCGTGTGTTTGTGCAGACGTGTGTGAGCCGCGCTGTATGAACGGAGGACGCTGTGTGGGTCTGAACCAGTGCGACTGTCCCTCGGGATGGAGCGGCGCCACCTGCGACACACGTGAGTACTGCAGCTCAGGTGGGATAGTACCTGTGGCCAACATTTATCAGAGTTTTACATAGGTTAAGATGCAGTTTGTGGATTAAAAAAAAGAAAAAGTAGTGCCAAGTTGTGAAGTGGAATACGTCTGCATACGTCATCAGCTTTGTCCAAACTGCAGAGACATTCTTTGAACTTTCATCTAACTAAATAAAGTGAAATAAGTTAAATACATTTCATTAACACAAATAACTGGTTTGCAAATAACTGCTTGGGGTAAATGGTATTTTCTTAAATTAGAAGGCAAAAAGTTGGGTACAGGCCCGTGATAATAATGTCTTTTCTAACCTGAGGGAGTGTGTGATGCTACGTTTGCAGCGAGCTGTTTGCAGAAGTGTTTGAACGGAGGAGAGTGTGTGGGCTCCAACACGTGTCACTGTCCCGTGGGCTGGACTGGACTCTTCTGCCAGACCCGTGAGTACCACCCTCTGCCCTGTCTACGGTTTTTAAAGGAGATACAGTCACGTTAATGTACCTGTCTGCAGTTTTTGCTTAACTCACACTTGTTTCATTAAAGCGGGGGCTTTATGCAAAGTAGATTTTTTTTTTTTTCTGCCATGTTATAACGTTGTTCTCTCATCAAAAACAAGCTTGAAGAGGTTTTAGATCATTCTAGGTCATCCATGCATGTTTGAGTAATTTAGCAATCTCTTCCTGTTAGCTGTCAGATTCTGTACAAGGCTCCGCCCACAAGCCTACGTCACCCATGGTCCCACACGACATAAATATACAAAAACATGATAAAAACTGGTCCATGTACCATTTGTTCTTTTGAATTTCAGTTAAGAACGAAAAACAATAAAATGGGAAAACAGTTGGTGCTTTCATTTTTCCATTTTAGTGTCAAACAAACAAAAAAACAGATTTCGTCCTCTGTTATGAATATTTAATTTAAAGTTTGTTTCATCTTTAGTTTATTTCAAAGACCAATCAAAAAACAGTCTTGGTGACTATTTCAACTTTGATATTTTATTCTCTCTGGTTTATTTGTCCTGGAAGTTCTGCTGCTAGAAGGACTTACCTGAAAAATTGTTGCAATTTTGTGAACAAACATGTCTCTTCTTTATAGCGACACGTTTACTTTCGCGTCTCAAAAAGTAATTGTTGAACTCCATGATGAGAAACAAGTAGCAGCCATGACCTTTGTTCAGTTGACACCATAAAACTATAATAAAAAATATGTTTTATTATAGATCCATAGTTGAGCAGCAGAACTTCCAGGGCAAATAAACCAGAGAGAATAAAATGTCAAAATTTAAATTGTCACCGAAACTTTAAACTTTAAATTAAATCTTGGAAATAGAGGTCAAAATCTTTTCTTTTTTTTTTTTTTTCATTTTTCCATTTTAATGGAAAAATTACAAACTGTTTTATTGTTTTTCGTTCTTGATTGAAATTCAAAAGAACAAATGGTACACAGACCAAAAGTGTACACAACAACTTGACAAACCTGACGCGATGTGCAGTAGTTTCATTAGCAGGACACACACATGCACACATGCTGATTGTGTTGCGATGGCGCTCTGAAGGGGGAGTGACTTGGTGACAAAGCAAAGGGACTGGGACAGTGTCTAAAGGTGTGCTTGTGTTCCCCCAGCCGTCTGTGAGCAGAAGTGTCTGTTTGGAGCGCGATGTGTCCGGCCTGGAGTGTGCGCCTGTCCCCCCGGAGCCCGCGGAGCTGTGTGCCGGACCCGGGTAAGACCACCGTGACAGAGCTGTTTCCAAACCAAAACCTCAAACACTTAATGCTTTGAGAAATAATGCTTGATACTAACTTGGGTTGTCAATACTGAAACTAATATCGAAACTAGATACTCATTTGAACAAGTATCGGTACTAAAAAAGTCCAATAGGTTCAGTTTGTTCTATGACCTCAATACCTGCTCAAATATATCTCGTTTTGATTCTAGTTTAGAATCTTTATAGTCTCGAATCAGTCAAGACTAGAATCGGTCAGGCCCAGAATCAGTCTGGTCTAGAAACTGTCAGATAAAAACAAAACCAAACTGGTCAGTAGCGAAGTTCAGTCTTGTCTAGAATCGGTCCGGTCGAGAATGGGTCGATGTAATCGTCTTGAATCAGCCTTGTCTAGAATCAGTCAGGTCTTAAAAAAAAAAAAAGGTCAGAATCAAAGTTCAGTCTTATCTAGAATTGGTCTGGTTTAGAATAGGTCAGAGTAGAATTACTCTAATGACGAACCTGCCTTGTCTAGAACGGATCTGGTCTACAATCTGTCATGTCTATAAAATGGGTCACATCTCGAATGTGTCTGTTCTGGTTTAGACTAGATTAGGTGCTGAATGGGTGGGCTCTAGAATGGCTCTCGTCGCACTTCTAGATGCCGCACTGTTCCAGATAGATCTAGTTTTGATTCTAGTTTTGATTAGTGTGTGGGTAACATTTATCTGGACTTGTATAGGGCTGATCAGAGTTGGTCTTCATGTAGTTTGCGTTGAGAATGTGATGTACATGGTGTGTCTGTTCCTTCACTCCACACATGTGAGAAACATGGTGTTATTGGATTCTTTCACTGATCGGAATGTACAACAGAAAAAAATCGATAGGTCTCAAATCGATGCACAGATGCTGGATCAAAAGAACACTCACAATATTGAGGTCAAAGCAACTTTTTAACACAGTGTTCTTTCACTCCTCGCACACATGTTGCTTCTTTGATTTACATTTCCTGTTTTGAGTTATGTAAAGTGAATCATATATAATCGATTTATTGTGATGTCACTCAGTCTGAACTGGCACAGACTGGCATCAGATTGTCTATCAATCATCATCAATCATCTATTGGCTGCGTCTGGATATTGTTTTTGAAATTATAAACTTGTGCAGAATAATTGTATGGATTTTTCAGAGGGTTTGTCAAAAAGGGCCTTGGGGATAGATGAGGCTAGTGCGGCATCTCTCACATCTAGAGTCAGTCGCTTTGGACTTGAAACAGTTTAGAAACTGTCTGGGTCTACAATCAGTCTGGTGGTCTACAGGTGCACTGGTCTTGAAACAGTTTGGTTTAGAATGTGTTTGGGTCTAGAATCTGTCAGACCTATAGTCGCTCTGGTTTTGAAACAGTTCAGTTTGGAATCTGTTTGGGTCTAGAATCAGTCTGGTCTAGAGTCGCTCTGGTCTTGAATCAGTTTGGTTTTGAAAATGTTTGGGTCTAGAATCAGTCAGTGCAGAATTAACCTAGTCTAAAACAAGTCTGGTCTAGAATAGGCCTGTCTAGAACCAGTGACGTCTAGAGTTGTTCTGGTCTTGAGCCTTTGTGGTCCAAAATGGTTCTGGTCTAGAAAGGGTTTGTCTAGACTCGGTCAAGACTAGAATCAGTCTGGTCTAGAACTGGACTGGTCTAAAATTGTTCATGTCTAGAATCACTCTGGTCTACATTAGGTCTGATCCAGAATCGGTCTGGTTTTGGAGTTGATCAGCGTAGAATTAATCTCTTCTAGAACTGGTTTGTCTAGATTTGCTCTGGTTTAGAATCTTTTGTAGTGTAGAATTGGCCATGCCTAGGATGGGTCAGTGTGGAATTAATCTAGTCTAGAATCTGTCATGTGTAGGACTAGAATGGTTGATATCTAGAATGAGTCTGGTCTAGAGTTGGTCTGATCCAGAATGGGCCTGGTTTAGAATCAGTCAGTGTCAAATTCATCTAGTCTAGAATTGTTCTCATTTAGAACCTTTATAGTCTAGAATCAGTCAAGATTAGAATAGGTCAGGACGAGAATCAGTCTGGTCTAGAAACAGAGTTGTCCAGGATCTGTCAAGTCTTAAAAAAAAAAAAGGTCTAGTCTAGAATCTGCCATGACTAGAATGTGTCTGTTCTGGTTTAGACTAGATTGGGTGCTGAGTGGGTGGGCTCTAGAATCGCTCTCGTCGCACTTCTAGATGACGCACTGTTCCAAAGTCTTCTCTGATTTTCACGTGTCTTTCTTCCAGCTCGCCTCTGCTCACGGCTCCTCCACTGTGGACCAGAGGCAGTGAAGAGCGCCCCCCACAGGCCTGAAGCGACACCACCACACACCGCTGGGCCTTTTCACCGACAAACCTCCATGGAAATCTCCCGGGCCATTTCACAATCTACCAGTGGAGTAAGAAACCTGCACTTTAAGTATACTGCGTCCATGTGACTTCACAACATTATAAACCGCCCGTAGTTTAACGTTGAGCTGGAGGACACGTCAGATCACCACAACGGAAGCCTACTGCTGAAATATGAACTAGAACTACTGAAATGGACTGTATAAATTATGAGTCAGTCTGACCCCCTCCTCTTCCTCTGACCCTCTCCTCTTCCTCTGCTCATCTGTCCCCATCATAAATCTGCTCACTGGAGAGAGGATTATAGGATTTCATCTGCTGCAGACTTTGAGATTATATTTATTCCGTTGTCACAAATGTTCTTGTTCTGTATATAAGACATGTCTGTAAAATGTGCACGTTTGGTTTCATTATTTTGTTTTGTAATAAACTATTAAATGTATTATTACTTTCTTATGATTGTCTTCTCGAGCTGTTCTTACCTCTCTAAACTGAAAAAAAAAAAAAAAAAAAAAACTAATGTTACCTTCTTCGGTATGACCTTCCGTTTTTCCAGCTGAAGCTCGGGAGTTGGGCAGTTGGGTTTCACCATTAGGTTTTTGCGCCCTCTGGTGGAAATAATCATGATAGGCCTAATTCTGGCTGATTCAACTCAAACCCAAAAGTAGGCTAGTTTCTTTATAAGCTGGCCTATCATATGACAGTGCAGCCTATACCAGTATTCTGTTGCAGGCTATTTAGTTTAAGCCAATCTTTCACACTGGTCTGCTCCAGGGGCCCCTCCTCGCTCCAGGGGCCCCTCCTCTCTCCAGATCCACCTGTCCTGCTCCTTCTGCGCACGGGCCTCTCTCTGCTCCTTCATTAGCCTCATAGAGGTATGTGTGCGCGCCAGGCCCGGGAGCGCTCCTCGGTCACCGGATCAGGAGCAGCTGCTGGCCCTGCTACTATTTTGGATCAGAGGATAAAGTGATGTGTAGCAGCCGGCCACAGAGCGGGAGGAGCGGCAGGATGAAGTCCACGCACTGCGGCTCAGACCTGGAGCTGGACCCGGACCCGAGCAGCGACTGTTCCGACGGGAAGTCGAGTGTGGAATCCCCCCGCAGGGAGCCCGCTGCGGCCGAGGGTCCGGTCAGGCGGAGACGCAGCGGCGGAAGCGGCAGACGCGCGGCTCTGTCCGGCATCAACAAACAGAGACAGGCGGCAAACGCGCGGGAGAGGGACAGGACGCACAGCGTCAACACCGCGTTCACAGCTCTGCGCACGCTCATTCCCACCGAACCCGCGGACCGTAAACTCTCCAAGATCGAGACGCTGCGCCTCGCGTCCAGCTACATCTCGCACCTGGCCAATGTGCTGGTCCTGGGGGAGGACTGCCGCGACGGACAGCCGTGTCTGCGCTACCAGAGCCTCCTGAGCCCCGGGCCCCCGAGAACCATCTGCACCTTCTGCCTCAGCAACCAGAGGAAACTGGTCAGTCCTCACTTCCATACACGCAGCATATCACAGATACATTCCCTGACAGTGAGAGCATGGCAGAACACAATCCACACATACAATCCACAGAGTGTAGAGCGTGCACAGGCACGGAGCGAGCTCATGCGTGTGTCTCTGTCCACAGCTCAGAGACGGAGGGACGCACTCGGTCTCGGCGTGAGGAATGCGCGCTCATGTGCACGTGAGGGGTGCGCGCTCATGGATTAAACTGATGAAGACTGGAGCACTTCGGAGCCTTGTGGATGTGCACTATGTTTTGGTTCGGCTGTAACCAGGCACCTTGTGTAAAGCTGCACCTGACGGAGCTATTTCTGTCCTGAGCGCGCCTCAAACAGACAGGCCCTTCAGTCAAACGGAACGTCCGCTATGGAGCGGTCAGAGGAGGAGAGGAGCGGTCAGAGGAGGCCCGGCCTGACCAGGGCACTCAGGAAATAAAGTTTGTTTACAATCACACACCTGTTTGCTCCGGAGGAGGAGGTCAGCGCTGCTGTGAGCGGCCCCGGCCTTGGACTCAGACTCCCGCACTGTTAAGCAGCTGTCACTTTGTCACTTTTACTGGCTCTCCTCTGACTGACTTTGGGCTTGTTTCAGCACCACTCTCACGCACTCAGTACACAGACTAATCAAGACCTCTACACCAGGCAGAACACAAGTGTTTTTGATGAGGAAACATGTGACTAAAGCTGCTGTGTAGTACAATGTGAAGCCAGTGTGTTATTGCACTAATGGAATAATGGAATACTGTAATACTAGTATTGTGTCAAACAGTACAGTACTAGTCTAGTGTGACTAGTGTCTGTGAGGTCACTAGCCCTACCTCACAGTCTGTTGACCTACCTCCACAAGGTAAACTGACCTTTGCACATTGGATCACCAAACTGCTGCTGACAGAGAATGTATTTTTGTACAATAAAACGTGAGGCACTGATTCACCAGTGCGTTGTTTTAATGCTCTGGTAAAAACATTTTTACCACCATCTTTTCTGCCAGAATAACTCACAGCTCACATGACCACGTTTTCAACCAAATGTTTTACCTAAATTTCATTTTAAATCCAGCGAATATTACTGTGACGACTTTTTCAAATATTAAATTGTATAGACCATCCTTTGGTAATAAAATATCATCCATGTTCAGATTAAATGACAAATGCACATGCAAATTCTGATTTAATAACTTTTTATTCATAAAAAAGTCAATTGGTTTTGTATCAGGTTAAAGAAAGTAGAAACCAACAGTAATGCGTTTGCTGGCAGGAGGCTCTTCTACACTGACAGTGTGTGACACTGCAGCTCAGCAACGTTACAACAAGAAGTGGGACTAAACGGGGCCAATGACAGCTCAGGAATACTTGATTGGCAAAAGGAATCTCCCATGATGGACTTTGCCAGCTGTGGTCACCTAAATCACATGGAATGTTTTCAAACTAAAGACTGAAGGCGGTGCAATAAGAGCGCCCAAAAACAGGAGGAGGATTGTTTGTGCCTTCAGCCAGGGTTCGCTGGGGGAATGCTCATTGTGTGGGTGTCGTGTGGGTGTCATGTGGGTGTCATGTGGGTCGTGGGGGACAGAGCAGAGGTAGAAGAGAAATAAGGTGGAACATTCTACTGCTCCTGCTGCAAATACAACCACAACACACGTGTGGCTCTGGACTAGTCTGCCTCCTCTTCCTCAGACTCCGACTCTGCACACACAGGACACACAGACAGAGAGACAGAGAGGACACAGAGGACACAGAGGACACAGAGGACAGAAGATTAGGTCTGGGTTCTCCACCTGTTCACATTAGAGATGATCACATGACAGAGGGATACATTACCTTCCTCGGCGTTTTTGAGCCACTCCACAAACTTCTTCATCTGCTCCAGGAAAACGCTCTTGCCCTTGGCCAGGTGGGCCTCAGAGTACCACTTGAGAATGGCCTCTTCACTGAGGACGTCGGCTGTGGGCACAACACAGGTTTCTTGTGTAGGGTGGGCATTTCAAACGCTTCATTTGATTTGTGACGCCTTCATTCAGTGCCACTTTAAACAGTCTGTATTTTTAAAACAACCCAGAAACCAAACCACAGCTATGATTTAAAACTTCTATAGAATTTACTGTACTGAAAACTACCCCTCATATAAAACTCTGGAGTAAACTCTGGAGTAAACTCTGGAGTAAACTCTGGAGTAAACTCTGGAGTAAACTCTGGAGTAAACTCTGGAGTAAACTCTGGAGTAAACTCTGGAGTAAACTCTGGAGTAAACTGCGCCCAGGTCAGGTGAATGGTGAGGGTAAGCCGACATGTACCTTTGTAGAGCAGTACCACGATCTTCTGAAAGGCCTTCATGAAGTGGATGTTGTCGTAGCAGTACTCTTGGATCTTCAGCAGCAGGCTGAGCTCCGACTGGCTCTGTGAGGTGAACGCCTTCAGCAGAGGGCTGTATTGCTGTGGGAAAACACAGCCAGAAAGTCAGTTACACGCACATGCTCACTTTTCACTGTAAAATGCTATATTCATCGAAAATAACAACTACATGTTAACTTAAAGTTTCACTTTTGTTTTTAATACCAAGTCTCTCTTCCCTTTGCTCTCAGTGCCAATTCACTCCACCTTCAGAGCAACATCACAACATAATCAGTGTGCATCCTGCTAATGCAGCTACTGCATCACATCAGATTTGTCCTGTTTTTAAATGTTTATGAAGAATTATAGTGTGGGTAAAGAAGGCATGTGCAGAATCTTACAGCTAACTGTAAGGAGGGTTTGAACAGGGCTCAGGAGAGACCGGGACATCCATATCATGTCCACAGTGTGAGTGATGGCTCTCTGGCTCCCCCTGTGGGACACTGAGGGGTAGAACACTTTTGTATCCAGGGCCATTCAACCAGTTTGCACAAGTGCAGCACTTTGAGGATGAAGGTGTGTTTTTAAAGTCGTCTTAGTGAAGAAAAAGAGTTATGTGACTGATCTGAGTGAGTGCACCATGAATGGGCCAACAGGTGAACACAGAGTAAGAGGTTAAAAACACAGTATCCAACCTTCAAGTGTTTGATGGCTTGTTCAGTGACCAGCTCCTCCTTCTTGTTCCACTCCACAGAGCTCATCACACTGCTCCAGATGATGCCGATTATGGTCTGCTCTGACAGCCCTGCCTTCTTCATCTCATCTCTGGTGTAGGCGATAATCTGAAAGCAGAGCACACAAAAAACATCTCAGACATGAAACTTTTAGTGCATTTCAAAAACTCTTTGGGGATTTAAGGGCAATAAATGGGCCAGCCTTAGTCCATGTTGATTCATGGTTGGGCTTTACGCAGCTCTACGCTCAAATACTAGGTTAGCCCAGGTCATGCTCTGAGGGAGTGAAAGTGTAAAGGTCTTAGAAGCAGATGGCTTTAGTTAGCCTTAAGTGCTACATTAAAATCAAAGCACTGTTGTTCACCTCCTTGATGGGGTCGCTCCGGGCCATCTGCTCCTGGAGCTCCTTCTGCAGCTCTTTGCGAGCTCCGATGGACTGCTGATTGCGGGCGAAGTCAGAGATCTCCTTCAGACCAGCCTCATTAAAGTACTTAGAGAAATGCTCACAGCTCCTCTTG